AAAGATTATAGGCTTAATATAGCCTACTATAAGGTTAGTAGGGTTAAGAAGACTAGCTAGCCCTCTATAATAGAGGTCTATAAGGTAAAGAGTAAATATATTATTAACCTATTCTTAACTTATTATACTAATATATATAGACTTCTATATAAAGGTTATATATAATTACTAGAACACTCCTTACTATAAGTTATTTAGAATATATTTAAAACTTATTACTAACGTGTTTTATAGAAGTTCTCTAAGCCTAGCTAGTAGCTACTATAGGCCCCCCTATAAATACTAATACCCTCCTAAATATAATTTAGAAGAAGACTTATAGTAGCCGCAATAGTAATAAGGTACAGCCTGTAAGAACCTGTTAAAAACACGTTACTAACTTGTTACAGCTTAACTTTGTTGCTATATCTACCCTACTAAGGATTTAAGGTTATTAGGTTCCTTATACTATCTACACTTACAATTATCCTAGCTATAGTAAGTTATTTATAACATGTTATTAACCTATTCCTAACGTATTTTAAGACTATTACTTTAATACTAGTGTAGACCTTACTAATTCCTGCTAGAATGCCGCCTAGTTCCACTTGCAGTATGCTTTTGTAGAGCCTAGGGAGGATAGAGAAGATACTAGAGAGGGGGAGGGAGATAATAATAGTAATAAGTAGGAACATATTAAGAACGTGTTAAGAACAGGTTCTAATAAACAATATATAATAGTATATAACCTAAAGGGGTAGTAGTAATTACTAAAATAAACTCTCTACTCTTCTCTTTTTTTTTCTATCTACTAAAAGTAAAGTACTATTTACTTTTATAGGGTCCTTTAATAGTATATAACTTTTTCTTTTAACTTTTATAGGTATTATAAAGCTCTAGTAGTCCCTTAGATTAAAGAAGAATCTAGCATTTATAGGTGTCTAGCTATAATGTATTATTAATATATTCTAAACGTGTTTTAAGAGACTAGACTTATATCTCCTTTTTACTACTTTTGCTAAATATTATTCACAGTATAAAGGGGAGCAACTATTTACTCCTCTTCTTTACTCTCTGCTTCCTCTTTAGCCTCTACTCTAGCTACCACTTCTTATTATAGACTAGCTATCTTAGAGGGTTCTTAAACCTTAGAGGAGGCACTTAGTGCAGTCTACTCTACTAGCAGAGAACGTATTATTAACGTGTTTAGAACACGTTCTTAAGCATTTACTATTAAGCTCCTATAGAAGATCCTTGCTTCTGTAATGCCTTATATTATAGTTCTACTACAATTCACTAGGGCTATTTAAACCTTAGGATAATACCTCTTAAGGTAGTAGATAAGATTGCCTCTATTAGAGAAGCAACGCTAAAATAGTTATTAATATATTATAAACGTGTTCTAACTCGCATGCATACATACTCTACAAAGTTCCTATACCCCTAATCTAGCCTAAATAGCCTAGCAGAAAAGCTTGCTAGGAAATACTATACACCTATTATTTAGGTAGGATATTACAGGAGAGAATACCCTAGTATTAGATAGAAGTAACTTAAGCTTAATATATTGCTAGTATAAATCCTACTTAGTATTAGAACAAGTTCACAACGTGTTCCTAACGCGTTCTATTACATACTAACTTTAAAAGATCTTTGTAGACTATATTAACTAGTTATATCTAATAATATTAGGAAAGATAGATAGTAAAACAGTATTAAACTCTTAAATATAAAAAGTTCTTATAGAGTATAAGAAGAAAGAAGAAGAAAGAGAAGAAGAAAGAATATATATTTATCTACTTATATATGCTTACGTAATAGACTAGAATATATTAAGAACTAGTTAGGAACTAGTTACTATATTTATAGACTAACCCTGCCTTATATAAAAAGTAGCTATCTCTTTCTTAAGTTTAAACTGTGCCTTTTGCAATTTAAACAGTGCCTTTTTCTATGCAAGTTCTTCCTTATCTACCTCTAGCTTTTCTTTTCTCTCCTTTAGAGCCTAATTACTAAGAAGAGCCTTTTATTGCAAAGTTTGTAGTTATAGACTAATAATAAGTTAGGAACGTGTTATAAACGTGTTTCGCGAAGCATACCTTTAGGTTACTATTAGTAGAGGAGAAGAGCCTAGTAGTAGAGAAGATAGAAAAGGGGCTAGTAAACTTCTTTCTAATACCACTCTACTACTTGCCCTCTAGCTTTAGGCTTTTAAGCGTGCTCTTTTATTTCTTATTAGGACTAAGATATATCTAGTTAAGTTAGATATAGCAAGACTTGCTTTATTATTATCTAGAGTGTTATTATTATTATAGGACGCGTTCTAAACACGTTCTAAACACGTTTTAATTAGTAAATGTGCATAACGCTAGCGTAAGACTTACTTTCTCCCCTCTAAAGCTTTTTAAGGTACCTTTGCTTAAGCCTATTAGGAGTTCTATAGTTATAGCGTATTCTAAACTTACTCTAGGCTTTAAACTCTTTTATATCCTATAGATCTATCTAGTGTACACTACACAATATTACTTATACAATTCTAATAGGTTAAGAATAGGTTGTAAACTTACTTCTAAGTGGCCTTAAGAATACTTATATGCTTACTAGTTTTATATCCTTTCTAGCCTGCTTGCTTAGCTGTATTTAAATAAGATTCTAGTTTTTCCTATACCTCTTTTAATATTTTACTATAGCATTACACAATCCTAGCAGTAATTACTAGGTTTTTCTTATAGATTACCTAGTTTTAGGTATCTTTAGAGGGTTTGTGTTCTAATAATGTAAGAACAAGTTAGGAACACGTTTAGAATAGGTTTAGAATGTGTTTACTTACGTAAGAGGAGGTTAGCAAGCTAAAAGTATTCCTCTACTATTAATACCTGTAGTAATTCACTTAGACGTAAAGAGGTAGTATTATCTAGCTCTCTTTTACATACTTTGTGAATACTTCTTTATAGATGTACTTAACAAAATCTTATATAAGATTAAAGTTGCTAGCGCTAGTCACGCTTGTAGGGATTAATTAACTAGAGATAGCGCCTAAGTCCTAGAAACAAGTTAGAAACACGTTACAAACATGTTGCGGTGCGCTGTGAAACTTGCCTATTATCTGCTTATTACACATGTTAATAGTAGTCCTATAGAATCCCTGTAAGTAAATATACCTCTATAACACTTATCTTTTTATAAGTGCTTCACACTTCTAAAAGAAGTTAGTAATAGCAACTTAATACATCTTAGTTATATCCTTATCTATAATAATTTAGCTAAGTGTAATAACTATAACGTGTTAGAAACGTGTTACAAACCTATTCTTAATACATACGCTTCTTTTCCTATAGGTAGAAGATTACTATTAGAATCTCTACCTATACCCTATATAACCTCTTATATAACATATCTATCTAGAATATATCTTAATCTAATAGAATTAATGCCTACTCTTTAAAAAGGCAAATAATTAAGTTACCTAAGCTTAATATAAAGATTTGCTATATATACGCCTGTAGTAACGTGTTAGCAACGTGTTCTAAACCTGTTCTCTTACACTACATACAGTTTTAGGATCCTAATGCTTTGTCCTCTACTTATAGTGTACTCCTCTAAGGCTACTCTTAAATAGGAACTATAGAAGCTTTTCACGCTTTATAATACGCGAGATTTTATCTTTATTTGCAAAGCTAATATATATTTCTTTAATAGAATAGAAACCTTTAAGTTAGAGATAGGTTTAGAGCTAGGTTAAGTTTAGGAACTAGGCTATAACAAGTTAGGAACATATTTATAACAGGTTGCAAACAACTTATATTACGTAAGCTATAGAGTAAGTATAGGCTATAATACCTTTACTACTTCCTTAATATTACTATTAGATAGTGTTAAGGGAGGAGGAGGTATATGTGTATATATACTAAAAGAAATAATAGTAAAAAAAGGTATTACTACTATATCTATTAGTATAATTACTTAGAAGGTAACTTTACACAGGATTTTAAATAGAGATCCTTGCCCTTATAGATAATTAACGCCTAGAATATATTAGGAACATGTTAGGAATAGGTTACAATATACCTACCACACTTCTTTATCTAGCTTAACTGTGGCTTAACTACAGAATATAAAGCAGGACTACTAGAAAGATTTAATATCTCCCTAGTTAGAAGACCTTATAGATATGTAGAGTCTACCTCTAGTAGTACCTAACTAAAATAATGTTTTTTCCTAGTAGTAGATATTAGGCTATAGTTCTAACAGCTAATATATAGTTAAGCCTGTTCTACAATTTACTAACTTGTTATTAACACGTTTTAAATATATTTAAGTTTTGCTCCCTACCTAATTTACTATAGTCCTTATTATAGGATAATAAGATACCTAGTAGTCCTTATAAATCCTTAAAGAGAAGCGCTTAATAAGGCTATAATAATAGCTTCTTATTTGTAGTTCTCTTTATAGAATTTTCTTAGGTACTACACTTTTTAAGGTTTAGATCTAATTATATAATATGTTATTAATAACGTAATAAGAACACGTTTATAACGTGTTCTTAAGATACTTACACGCTTTTACCCTAGAGCATTAGTATTTATACTAGCTTGCTAGCTAGCTATTAAAGAATAGTAAAGTTGTAGGCCTATTAAGATAGACAGACTAGCAGGAGTATTATACCTACTAGAATTAGAATAATTTAAGAACGTGTTCTTAACGTGTTACCTGTGTAGCCTACATAAGCACCTCTTCTCTTATTAGGTAAGAGCTATCTTTATATTGCTAAACTAGTATTATATACCTATACCCTTAGCTATATAATTAAGGGTATGCTAGGAGAATAGCTATATGCTTAATAATTACTAGTGTAAGTAGTAGTCCTTAACTATTACTATAAGTAAGGTATACATTATACCCCTGTAACGTGTTATTAACCTATTCTAAACTTGTTCTATTTACTTTTACTTACTTCCTTAACGCTACTACTACTATCCTCCTCTAGCACTTTATACGGTTGCCTAAATTCATCTCTAATATTACTATCTAGTTTAGATACGTTGTCTAGTACTACTATACTAAACTCTAGTATAGTATTTAGGAACGCCTATATATTATTAAGAATAGGTTTAGAACACGTTTAAAAAAGATAGTAATAAAAACTGCGTTTACTTGCTTAAATTACCCTAATTTATACTTAACCATAGGCTAGTTTATATAACCATGAAAATTTGCCGCTGTGACGTGGACTTGAACCTACAGGGATATTCTAACCACTCGGAGTAAAGCCCAAGTCGCCCGACGCTAAACCCATGGTCATATGACATGCCACCACAGTAGGGACACAGCAGGTTGACACGAACGCCTTGCAGTGCGCTCGTCGATCTGAGACTCCTGAACAGGCCGAGAACAGCATGCTTGGCGGCGCAGTATTGTGGCTGAATAGCCACGGGGCACAGCGAGGCAACCGAGCCCAGTAGCAACAGGTGGCGGTCCCGCGGAGAGGCTGACGGGTTCGAAGTGATGCTGCTCGGCGAAGAGCCCGGGTTCTTGGGCAGCCAAAAGTAGGCGAGGTGCGTTGTATACAGCACACCCGTGACGTTGACGTCCATGATCTTGAAAGCGGGAGGTGGCGGTGCTGCGGCATCGAGGTTCGCGGCTTCCTGTAGAATATCCCGTCCTGCAATCCCTGCGTTGGCTACGACGACATCCAATCCACCATGAGGACTCAGCTTGACGGCCTCCTTGAAGAGGTTGACTTGGGATTGCCAATCGGTTACATCGCAGTGGACGAAGTGCACCTTGTTGCTGCCGGAGATGTGCGTGTTGATGTCACGACAGACGGCGTCGCCTTTGGCGACATTGATGTCTCCGACGATGATGGTAGCGCCATGGGTTGCCCAATGTCTGACAAAGGCTGCACCAAAGCCACTTGCTCCGCCTGTGATGAGGATGACCTTGCCCTTGACCCAGGCAGCATCATAAGGCTTATTAATGTCGATTGGCGGCGATTGCAGAATGGGGGCGCCCTGACGCTGATAGGTGCTGCTCATGGTAGGGAGGTACTGGCCAGGTGGAAGTAAGTACAAGTGATTTGATGGATGCAGAACAAAGAGAAAAAATAAGCCGGGGTTTGAGTGGATTGGGTAGGGTGTGAAACCAGAGACGGGGACAAGCTGCAAGTGCCAACCGCCTTCAATGTTCCATCACAGACAGACAGACAGACAGACAGACGGACGGACGGACAGACAGACAGATCAGGCGGCCGGGGCTGTTGTGTTTTGTTGTCGACCGAGGCTCGCCAGCCTGTCGATTGGTGGCGCCTTGTATCATCAAGCCTGGCTGGGGGACCGAGTAGAACCAGAGTAACTAGAGCGGAGAGTGCTTAGTGCTACGACCTATGTCAACAACACTTCCTATAGTATTGTTCTCTGCATGCACAAGCCTGCTTCAGCGCCAAAAGCACCCTCCCGCTCCCCATCTCTCGCATGGCATGGGCCGGAAACCGAAGAACGCGACGCGCGGTAGGGAACCGCTACGACAAGGAGATGGGCGTAGTGCAATGGCAAGGCCATCAACCATCAAACTGGAAACAATGCTGCAGTGCGGCTTTTACTCTATCTGTAGTATACACTATACAGGACAGGATACTGTTACCTACATAGTAGTAAGACAACAAGAATAGGTGTCGGACCTGGCAGTGGACGTCTAGCGCGAACCGGCCCAGACCCACCCCGCCCTTGTTCCGACGACGTTTTCTCTTTCCCTTCCCATTCTTTTCTTGGAAGAACAACAAGAAAAGGGAGACGAGAGAAGTCTTTGTATCAAAAGTCCCGTCAGAGGCCTCTTCTAACCAAGCAGCATCACACAGGACTGTTGTCGCATCTCGCACCTAATAAGACATGGACATGGCTGCAAAACCCCCGGCTTTCGATGTCTCCCCCACGCACATCGTCGCGACGCTCTTCTACAAAGCCGACTCCCCCCACTACTTTCCCCACCCAGATCTCTCGCCGCGTAGCCCCAACGACGCCATTCCTTCTGCTTCCCTAGAATCCCTCAAGGACGGCGCCGTGCCCACCGACAACCTCGAGGATTATCCGCTCGAGCCACCAACACCAGGCCCCAATGCGCTCGACAACCTCTACGGAAGCTACATCAGCCAGAGCTGTCTAACCGACTTCTTCATCACCCTCACAAACATCATACCAGGCCTCCAGCAAAGCACAATCACGAGCCACAAGCTCGAGACCAGCAAGTTCTGCAGAGTCGCCGAGGTCAACTTCCCTCTCCCGTCTGCCTCTCCCGTCACACTCGAGACGTTGCGGAGACATGAGGCCGTGTCCAGATACGAGCGCGAATGGAATGTCGAATGTGTCTTCCAAGCGGACACCATATACCGCCGCTACAAGAGGTTAGCTGTGTTTGATATGGACAGCACCCTCATACAACAGGAGGTCATCGATGAGATTGCCTCGATGATCGGTGTGGAGAACGAGGTTTCTGCCATCACCGCTGCCGCCATGAACGGCGATTTAGATTTCGAGGCCAGTCTGCGGGCCCGCTGTAAACTCCTCAACGGTGTACCAAGCACCGTCTTCGAGACACTGAAGCCAAGAATCACGCTCAACGAGGGCGTCAAAGACTTGATATGCGCGCTGAAGAGACTGGGATACAAGACCGCTGTGCTCAGTGGTGGTTTTACGCCACTAACTGGCTGGATGGGACAGCAGCTGGGTCTGGACTATGCGTTTGCAAATCATCTCGTGGTATCCGAGGATGGAGCCACGCTGACCGGCGAGTTGACTGGTGAAATCGTTCACGCGCAGAAGAAGAGGCAACACGTCCTCGAGATTGCCGAAAAGGAAGGCATCCTGCTCGACCAGGTCATCTGCGTCGGTGACGGGGCGAACGACCTACCTATGATGGGCGTCGCAGGCCTTGGAGTAGCCTTCCATGCCAAGCCGACGGTACAGATGAAGGCTCCTGCACGTCTCAACTCGAAAAGCATGCTCGATCTGTTATATCTCTTTGGCATATCCAAGGAGGAACAAGAAGCATTACTGCGTTAACACGATTGCGTTGCAAGCAAACCACTCATTGAAAATAGCGTGCGCGCAGAGAATGCCCCGTCGAGCGTAGACAGTCCTATTATGCCCAATGCTTGCTTGTGTCATCTACAATTAAAAACGATGCATATCAAGCACTCGAGTAACTGAAGACATGTGCGTGCTATCTCCACACACGCCTGATCAGCACGCCGCCGCGAGAACCAACAAGCCATCCGGATTCGTACGGCTCCATAACTCCTCGGAGAATTTTTCCAAGAGATCTTCCTCGCAATCAATCACTTCATATTCCGAGAAATCAAGTCAGCCTCGCTGCAGCGGCTGAAGTGATAGCTGCATGTCAACTTACAAGTAGCCGTCACGATGCTTACTAAAATCCAACAAAGAGCGCACAAAGAACTTGGTTGGCAGCCAGTCCACAAGACTAACGTCAATTCGCGGCATGAAATGGATTCATACTATCCAGATGACCATTCAACAGATTGACTCACGATATAGACCCAGATCCAGCCGTTTTCTTCCCTTGATATGGAAATCTCGAAGTTTACCAACAGTTCAATGAAGACAGTCTTCAAAGTACAATCAAGGACACATGCTATCGCAGCCAACAAATCATACCATCAATAACGATCCAATCAGACTCGAAAAGTAAACAAAATCATTCAATATTCACTACAAGAACAGAATCCCTCCTTCTAGGAGAGGAAAAAAATATATGCGTATATATGTATACAATCATTGCGAAATCGCCATACCCATTCGCAGCATCCACCCTCACAAGTGGCAGGCCATCATGCTATCTGGTGATGTCTAGTTCTGAAGAGCCTCAATCATACGACGCATCTTAGCCGCCGACGCACTGCCAGCCTCCTTTTCGAGGAAAGCAATGAATGTCTCGAGCGTGTACGTCTTCTCTTTGGGCTCATTGTCGACAGTAACGGGGGTTACGATAGAGGGTTGTGCGGCCTCTGGTGTGGCGCTGATCGTGGCAGATGCTGCTGGTGCAGGTGCCGGGACAGCCTCGGGTTTCTTGGAGGGACTGGCGGCTGGGTACTCGGAAGGCGCAGCGTCTGGGGCCTTGGAAGGCTTGGATGGGACAGATGGCCCGGAGGCAGGGGCAGATGGTGCGGGCGCAGGTACGACAGGAGAAGATCCATCCGCCTTTACGCACTGCGAATAGTATGGGTTCCACTCCTTGCAGATGAGGCCCGCGGCGCAAGACCCAGTCCCTGTAAAGCCTTGACCGCCACAACGGCTGTATTCACTCAGCTCGCCAGAGGAAGCGTCACCCGTGGGCTGGGGACGGACGATGGTGGCGAAGGTGCTAGGGACGACGGGGACGGGGCTTGGGCTGCCGGTTCCGATGAGTGCGGAGGAGGTCGCGTTCACAATGGGGTAGGGGGCGGGGACCTCGGGGGTCGGGATAGGAGCGACTACAGTCTCCTCTGGGATCGCGGTCGATGTGAGTTCGGGCTCAGCAGTGGTGGAGGCGGGCTCGGTAGGGGTAACCTCTGTGGGATCGGCCTCGACGGGAGAGGGAGAAGGCGCGGCGCTGGAGACAGGGGCTGCGACAGAGGAAGCAGCTTCGACAGCGACGGGGGAAGAAGCGGGAGCTTGAGCAGACGAAGCGACGACAGCCTTGGAGGTAGAGGCAACGGGCTTGGGCGCAGCTGGAGCACCGGTGATCTTGCCAAAGGTGAGAAGCTGGGGAGTAACTTCAGTGCCGCTGGCGATGAGTTCAGGACCAGGGACAGGATAGTCAGAAAGATCGGCGTGGATGGAGAATCCGAGACCTGGGCCCGTCTTGGAGTATGCCTCTGGGAAAGTGACACCCTTAGGGACGAGGGTACCGCTTCCAGTGACAGTAAGCTGGTAGCAAGTAACATAGTGCTGAGCACCGCCAGCAGGGCCGGCAGCGTGAAGAGCAATGGCTTCTGCTCTCAAGAGGTAATCGCCAGGAGCAATATCAGTGGGAATCTTGAAGTCAAGCTTTCCACAGTTGTAGTTCATATCCTTGGTGCCCCAGAAGTCGTTGTCACCCTGGGATGCCTCCGGGTTCTTCTTCCAGGCGTTCTGGTAGACCTTGAAGAATTCACTGGAGCCGTCTGCGGCAGCAGCATCCTCGACCTTGGACATGTAGGCAAGGACAGGTCCCCAGTGGGCACCGCCAATGCCCTCTTGCGAGCAATCACGGGTGTTGTGTTGGTGCATCTCAATCGTCACGGTATCACCAGCCTCGAAGGCGCATTTTCCGCTCGCAGCAGCGGGGTTGACGTTGCATTGCAGAGCGTTGCTGGTGTAGTCCTCGATGGGGCTGTTAGAGGGCGGTAGTCTGGCACAGGTGCTCTCCAGATCCTCTCCATTCTTCCACAGTTGCTGCCAGGTCGCATGTGCTTGAGCCAGCGCCACAAGGGCGGAAAGTGCTGCTACGGTCTTCATGTTTGCAATGAGTGTTTTAAAGAGTTGATAAAGAGTGACTGGTAAGAAGAAGAAATGTTCAAAGTATGTAATGAATGAATGTCCAGCGCAGCTGCGTTGACCTTCTCAACGCCCCCTCGGGGCCTTTGATCTTATACCCTTAACTTGAGATGAGCCTCGCTAACGTCAAGCCGCTTTGTGGGTAGTACGCCACACGCCTAGGCGTTTCGTTTACCACAGATCAAATCTCCAATGCTGCGCCAAGAGGTGTGAAGCTGCCTGATTCCCATGGTGACAGATTAGACTGACTGACTCTACTACCTCGCTTGTTGACGAGCTTAAGCCAATGTCAGGTCTACGGATCGGGGCTGAGGTCCTGAACAAGCAAAACAACCTGACGGTGGATTGGTGGATGAAATCCTGTTCATGGACAAGAGACTCTACAAGGCTTAGCGGTTTCTTGGACTTGCTTGGGCCTAGAGATCCTTCGAATTGCAGGGGGTTCTGGCTTTGTTTCTTCAGGCGTTTGAAGAAGTGGTCACCAAGGGGTTACTACATTCTGTACATTTTTCCCGTGTCTCACGAGTCACAACTTGTGCGCTTAAAGACACACCAGTTCATAAACGATTCTCACGCCAGATTTTTTTTTGATTGTGTCATTAGAAACGGCGCAAGAAGATGAGTTACCAGGTTAAGAACAAACCGTTGTGGCGCATGCAGGAACGGGTTCTAGTGGCTCTTGAAATGAACGTTTCCTTCGCAATTTTAAGAACAGTGCTTCCAAGTAGCATTCTCTTCACATATTTTGCTGTGCGGACAAGTTGAATTTGGGAAGTATTACCTGCGGCTTACTTTTTTTCTTCTTGCACGACAACGAACCTGGTGTAATGTGTCTATATTATCTAATATTCTCTGCTGACTAGTGGTGGAAACTCGTGCTTGACTGGTGTTTGGCGCGCGGTGTTTGAAACGTTAAAGCGGGGCGACACGAAACGGCCTTCGCATGATCGCTCCAAGGGTCCATGACGTCCAATAGCGCCTAGAAGCAGAATGAGGTGGGTTCACAAATCCTACGATGTTGGTGAGGTGATGAGAATGCAGAGATTTAGTCAGGGGATCATAGAATGCGGGATGTAGGCACGCTTCGTAATGTCAAGACGCCGCATACATAACAGATGGCACGCCTCGGTTTGTAAAAAGGTTCTTGGGATTTGAACAAAGCCGTCGTGATAGACAATGAATTTGTCGTGTCGTACATGGGTTGCTGGCAGTTGGCATGTCATTATTCAGGATACACCATCTTCCTACCCACGCCGCCATCGACGACAATCTCCTGCCCAGTAACGAATGCGCTACCTACAACATAGTCAATCGCTCGTGTCATATCCTCTACATTGCCCACCCTTCCTGAGAGATGCCAGTCATGGTCTTCGTTGCTCAAGTCGTCCTCCCACTTGGCTCCGCTCTCATCTGCAGCCTTGCTTTCATTCGCAACATGAATCCAGCCCGGGATAATGGCATTGACCCTGATCTTGTGACGATGGCCGAGAGATACTGACATGGACTGCGTCAGACCCAAGAGACCAGCCTTGACTGTGGAATAGGCCCCATGATCAGATTCAGCTTGATAAGTTCGGGTCGAGGAAATGTTGATAATAGTGCCAGGTGAATCCGACGTTGACCGTCCAGCCACAAGCATGGGCACACATAAACGGCTGAGAAGAAAGGGAGCTGTGAGACCAATCGCAAGCTTGAGGTCCCACTCTGTCTCCATCTCATCGCCCTTTGCTTCTAGTCTTCGGTCTTCGGAAAGCGCCAGGGTTGTAGGGAATGCGTTATTGATCAGGACATCCAGCTCTCCATCGAATTGTTCTTTGACTGTCTCAACGGCAGACTTGATCTGGTCTCTCTTGCTGAGATCGCACTTTAGCACGCGCCAGTTCCTATCATGTCCGTTTGACCATTGGCCTGCCTGCTTTTCAACATTATTCGACTCCTCCTCATTCCAATCAAGTACAATGACTCGATGACCTGCTGAGAGGAAGTTTCGGAAAAGTCCGCGACCGATTCCACGTGCTCCGCCTGTGAGCAGAATCCTCAGTGACTGTTGCATCGGAGTGGTGCTTATCATACACTACGGTAAAAAATTGTTTACTGTAGAATAGTACGCTAGGGGTTTACTATATAGGTTTAAAGTAGTAGTTTACTTTTATTAAAGTAGTAGTTTACTTTTATTAAAGTAGTAGTTTACTTTTATAGTAGGGGTTTAAATTAAGTATAAAAAGTAGTTTTATTTCTATTATACGCTATAATACCTAACTAATACTAAAAGGGGTAGAAAAGATTAGCTTTACGCTATACGCACATATAACATAATAATAAGTCATAATATTTTTACTAATAGGAGGTGGTGATAATAGAGGTGGTGATAATAGAGGTGGTGATAATAGAGGTGGTGATAATAGAGGTGGTGGAGGTGGTGATAATAGAGTGGTGGAGGTGGTGGTGGTGATAGGGGTGGTGGAGGTGGTGATAGGGGTGGTGGAGGTGGTGGTAGAGGTGGTAGAGGTGGTGGTAGAGGTGGTGATAGAGGTGGTGGTAGAGGTGGTGATAGAGGTGGTAGAGGTAGTGAAGAAGATTAAAGAAAGGAGGGGTAAAATACTTAGATAGTTAGTAGGAAACTAGTAGATTAATAGAAGTAGAAGTAAAAGTGGAATATATAGTATAGTAAACCCTATCTAGGTTTACTTCTTCTACCTAAACCACTTCTTAGTCTACTTTAGATAAATATAGCTACTATAAACCAGTTTTATACTATAGTGTTGGTAGTATGATCAAACTTATGAAAGTCAAGCAGAGGTCAATAATGCCAAACCTAGCTACGGAGGCTTGTTGTGTAGATCATCGACCAAGACCCTCGCAGATAAAAATTACAATACCGATACCATTTACATACCATGAAACAATCAATTACAGCTACCCTGCCTACTAGTTAACTGTATAAAGTGCTTGTTTTTCGCTACGCATTAGCAAGATTGCGGCTACGTTGTCTGCCTCTGTTGTTTTTCTAAGCTTCGTGATATCCAGTGAATTAATTGCTATTGCATAAATGCTTGAACGGCATCGTATTACTGTGAAATAACCGTGAACGCCTGAAGAACTCTTTCTAGTGCAACGGTATTTGGTACTACAATGTTGTCACTTTTAAAGATTATGGACAAGACCTCTTCAAATAAACATCAAGGCAGTAACAACATTGGCAATCTAAAGTTACAGCTGTCAAGAAGTTGAGGATAACCCCTCGCAATTTCACTGACGTCCTATCATACAAGTATAGATATGCAAAAATGGTGTATCTTCCTGACTAGTCTGATGACCCATAATTGTTCTCGTAAGGGAGTAACTCTTGCTACGTGGGAAAAATTAGTTACCACTGGCCTCGAAATTTTTCAAATGACACAGACGATGTCAATGCAGCAGTATCGATAGAATAACTTGTTAAATCCATATTCCCCTCACCTACCATATGATCATCTACTGTTTACCATCTACATTTGATCTTCGCCCCATTTAGCCAATACGCTGTCGGATCTCCACGAACAATTTCGTTTCTTAATGGCTGCGCGACGTTTTTTGTGCGCTTGATCAATTTCCGACATCGCCTTTTGCAATGCTGGCTTCTTACCAAGCCAATGTTCAAACGCAACAACATCTGGGATTTGTTTCTTGAAGCGACGATGACACAAGCTATTTGCAAGGTGTCTAAATAGAGGGTCTTGTGGAGGACAACGATTGACGATAGTACTCATTTCCTCTGTTGTGAGAAGACGATCGGTGACTTGTGCGCAAAGAACGTCGATAAGCGGCTTTGTGTGGTGATAGATGACGCCCAGGCAAAGACAGGCCTGATACATTAGGACGCCCTCTACAAATCCCATGGAGGGCAGTTCAAGTTTGATGTCTTTGACATCCACAAGATTCTCAGTGGAGAGAATGTCAAGGAGCCTCTCGACGCTTTCTTGGTTGATCTTACCATACACTCGGAACTGGGTAGCTCGAGGTTTGACTTGGAAAAGATCGTGAACTTTTGTACAGGATGCTTTGAGAGCTCGCAAAGGGACAGCTTTACGGATGATGATATTACCATCAGCAATGATACTAATGCTTGGTCCTTCGAGGAGGAGCTGGCGCTCTTCAGACTTGAGGGTGAGGATGTTCATAGGGTGCTCGCCTATCATCTTCGATGTAGATTGGTCGGATGTTACAACGGCTTTAATACCTTTCACGCGCTCTTGTACGCTCATATGGTAAGAAGTCACCTGGATTTTAGGAGACAATTTGGAAGAAGGTCCATAGCGAGACGAGGTAAGCTTGATTGGAGTTGACGAAGACATTTTATCTGTTATCAATGCGACGGCCTTAGAATTTTAATATGCTGGATAGAGTGTGTTTTTGTACTTGCAAACTCAGGTTCGAATTTTATGTTGCTATCAGGATCGTGGGAATGGACTATATATAGGAGGATTTGATACCGCTACCCAAATGACTCCAAGGGCATTGTTCGGAGCAAGTTTGTAGCAAATTATACCAACAATCTCTGGGTGCTTTGAGCCTTATCTTTGAATGTGCTTAGCGCCTTGATCACACAATGTCCATGTTGACAATGATGACTTGCTAGAGATGGAGCATTGATATTGTCACCAATATGCATCTACTCACATAGTGCACGTGTGCGTTGTGACGTCATTCTGGGCCAAGCACTATCACCAGTGGTGTCACCAAATGTTGTCTAGGGGTAAATGCAGTCACTGGCAAATATGGCGTCGGCAGTCGTCATGTTCCTTCATTTTTAGTTTCAGAGGTTTTAATACTCTGCTAGCTGTACATTGGAAATGGGTTGCTCTGTAATTCTCTAGCATGACCACTTCTAGGATATGGGTTTTTTAACATGCGAGGACGTGTGTAAACCTAGATCAGTTTTCAAGCATCATGATAGGATGATAACCATCCCACCTTGTCCGAATATTTGAATCAAGAGACATGCGGCTCTTACTAAGTCTTACGTACATTGTGTGCAAGAATTCGGTATAAAGACAATGATATCCTACAATCATGTATCACTAATTTTCCTTCATATTCATGGTATTTCTGAAACACCCATATTAGTTCATCAACAGGAAAGTGCTATCTGCTCTACAGGATTTATGGGCAGAAATATTGCCCCCCTTTCCTCATCAGAGACCATGCAATCGCCATTACGAGGCAATTCTCATTTCCGCATATCAAAAAAATTGTAAACCCCACAAGTTGATTTCATTCACGTGCATTCATGATCGCATCCGCCATTTCAGAAATGATGTCAAAACGCCGATGGGTCTTGTAGTTGGCCTGTCGGTGCTTATCTGAGCAGTAACACGATCAGATCGATCACTTGTCAACTGAAAATGACATTGATTTTCATGATCAAGCTCTGTCTTTCGCTTCAGCTCTGCACCGGTTACTCAATGGCCGAGTGTGCGCTCCAATAGATTACCTCCTTCGTTGCCATTATCATTTCGTGATGATGCAAAATGTCGTAGAGAGCAGACATAGTGAAAGAGCCCATCGAGAATCTTCGAAACAAATGCCGGTTTTTCAAGACCCAAAGGGTACGCTTATCGAATTTCCTAGGCCAGCTCCAGAATCTTAGTGGCTTTAGGTCATGGCCAACCTTTGAATCTCAAAGAAAACGTACAAATGAGAAGTTAATTAATGAGAGGCTTCCTTTCATGATGACGCGAAATCATAATATCGATATCCACACTTATGGAGTCATAGTGCACGCGAAAGCATAAGACAGCATCTTCTATGCGGCGAGGGCAAATATCCTGCAAACTGAGGAAGCCTAAAACACACTCAATGCATCAGAAATTTCATTTTGACGCATATTTCGCCTGGATTGTGCTGCTTTGAGTCCATTTTCTCCCGTGGTGTTATTCCAATCCAATACCAAGCCAACAACATCAGTACATTTTCCGGCAAGTTATAAATTTCGCTTCAAGCATACGAAGGATTCCAGGTCTCAAGATTGAAGACCCCATCAATCACTTGTCTTTGATGATGATACCTCAGCAGTGCTTAAGCATTTGCATGGCCTGAGATCACAGTGCGTGTGAGGAGCATGCGATTCACACGACAAACCATTAGCAACCCAATGTCACACACCCATCTGGCAAACCCGAACAGCGAATCTTTGGCGTGTGAATAAGACTCCATGACTATAGGCCATCTCCGAACCACAAAAGCCTTTCTGGCGGCTATATACCTTCAAGCATCAACACCTCAAAACACAACATCGCCAATGCCAATAGTTCCCAACTAGACTAAAGGGAATCATGCCCTCGCCGCCGACAGAGAATAAAAACCACAGTGTGAAGAATCGGTCAAATAAGAAAGATAACCCGACTTTGCGGGCCGGAGCATCGGGTGCCTCGCATGAGGCAGTGTCGACGGCACCGCCATAGTACCATCGAGGGTTAGGGTTAGATGTGGATTATGAGGCGAAGCATCTAGCAGCGAAGCAAAAGGGGATCGCTGAGCACTTTGCTGAATTGTCGTTGCTTTTGTAGAGGAATTTGGCGTGTGTATGCGTGGATGGTAGGGTTTTACTGGGGCAGTATGTATTATGGGGGGGGGGGGGGGGAAGTTCTTTAGCTATATCTTTTAGGGTTAACAGAGGAATGGTGACACTATGTACAAAATGCGCTGTCGGACTTTCAGATTTGCGATGGTAAAGTTCAACTTACTTTTTTGTGTAGATGCAGAGCCACCCAGCGGAACGCGGATGAGGGCGGAAACTAAATCAAGAGGTTTGTCGCGGAAGATGAGGGAGATCCCTGGGCGGCTAAGACAGCCTGGGGATGGAAACGATTACTTGTGATTCATTAGTACTAGCCGAGAGACGACGATTCACCAGCAGTTGCTAAGCCAGGATCTTTTTCTCTAGTTCAAGATCTAAGAAGCCGTACGAGTGATCATCACGGTGTTTGATAGCCTCTCCGCATCCAAGTCGATCATTCGGTTACTATACAAACCAGGGTGCGACTACCTACAGTAACAATGCCTCCAACCAAACGTCTGCACATCATGTGAGAACTACACGCGTAAGAGAGACAATTCATCCACACGCTCCTCGCCAAGTACACAGCCCCATTACTCCAGATGATCGCACCCATCGCGACACCTGTCATGTTTGTTGTTTATATGAGATGCAGCTGCACAGTGACGTCGTTGGTACTACCATTCATAACGCCGAGCCATCCATCTTCAAGGACCATGCAAGACCAGTCTCGACCGCGACCAAAACAACTGCTTTTCAAACCCATTCGCACTCGCAAAAGAATATATACATGCATACGGGACAAGACATGGACCAGCCTCGATGTCGCACGGGATCGGAGATGTGAAATCGCCTGGCTACATTTATTCATGTGTGTCTGGTACTGCGATTCCGGGCGATCCAGAGTGGGAGTACGTTGCGCGTTTGCGTGTTGATTGAGTTAGCTTGGCTGCGAGTGGATGGATCCTGGGTCATCTGCCTTCACTTCTGTTTACTGCTGCGAACGTCGGATCTGAAAGCTTTGGGATCGCGCTGGAAAATTTGCTTGTTCAGCTTGGGTGGTCGAGTCGTTCTCACCTTCGGGCGGTTGCATCTTTATGCCACTAGACACCAGTGTCCGTCACAACATCGCCATGTACCATATACCTCGCCCCGAAGGTACGCCATTCAGTGTGAAGGGAGCCGCGCAGCTCAAATCACCGACAGCGATGGCGGGATGTACTGCAAGCCCTGTTCGTCCATCAACGGCGCACTCCACGATTCGTACTGTTCCCCCGTCACCGCCACTTAGCATCACCGGCGCGCTGGCTGTCGACTTTGCAGATTATCCTGCAAAGGCCCGTGGCGATGTTTCCCCTGACTCACAGAAAGCGCCTCTCGATGCCGAAGGATCAAGGGGTGAGCATATAGGATCCGTCGCAGAACATGTGACCAATCCCGAAAACGAATGTGGTGACAAGGGCTCCTCCTTCAGCTCCCCAGGCACAGTTCTGCGACGCAGCCTTGTAGGATCGGGGCGCTCGCCATCGAAAGTCAGATCGCGCTCGCACTCACCTAGAAGACAACCAGGAGTCCCGATTGCAAATTCATCTCACCTGGCACACATGGTTCAAGACCAGCGTGCAGCGGACTCGACGTGGTATAGCACGACTGAAGATGAAATTGACAACAACGATGACAGCGACGAGCGAGATGCTCCCGAGACACCTACACCCATGTCACGAGAGCAACGGATGCAGGCTTATACACCTCTCGGTGTAAAACCCCTCTTCTCGAATGGGCGTGAGCGGAAACAGCACAGTGGGGACAGCGTGTACAAGGCAACCCGCCCAAAGGATCAATCCACCCTCACCCTCCACCATAAGCAGGCGCACTTTCAACCCGATTTCCACCAAAAGAGCAAGCCTCACCTCGGGCACACGGTCTCCGGAGTGCGCATCAGAAAGCGCTTCCCTGGTGCCACCGAGGAGCAGGCTAGGGACTCAGTCCATAATCCACCACCGCAAAGCTCCACACGCAACATTTCATCGTCGGCGCGCTCAAATCTCTCGGGTGGCACGGCAGAGTCGCGGCGCAGTGTGTTCAGTACGCCGGGTAGGGATGAGATGGAGCGCAAAAAGGCCTTGGTGGAGATTGATGAGGGACCGTTCGCCAAGGCAGTGAGTATGCAGGACCTGGCCATGAGAAGAAGGCAGGTAAGTGGGATGAGCGGAGATGGCGTGGAGAGTGGAGAACGAGGTGGCAAAAAGAAGATGTGGAAGAAAGGTTGCGGCATGAGTGACAGATGTTGCATTATGTGAACAGTGGCTAGATGACAGATCGAGAAGAACATGGAGGTGCATTTGGATCGAGTTTCAGCAGATGTGAGAGAAATTAGGAGCCAGAAGAGGTTGTAGTTGCGTGTAGGGATGGGCAGGAGTGACGGGGCATAGACGATGAAAGGAATGCTAATTCTCTTAGTGTTCGGGCCACTTGATGAACTGAGCAGTACACATACCAGATCCATGCAGCATCTCAAAATCATATGAGATTGGTTTGCAGCGATTGCTAAAGACCACACAATGAAAACCTTGCTTTCGCAGGATAAGTCGTAAATCTTTGACATAGGCTGGATGTGACTGTCCTCTTCCTGATAAGCTTGGCGCTGGCGTCATTAGGTACGGTACTCCTCTTGATCGTATTCAGATTATCGCAAAAAAAAAAAGCGAGATGAGAAAGTGTGTATAAAGAAAATTTAGTATTGTGACAACAAAATAAATCTACTATGCCCTCTTTGACGTTGGTTCTGAGGCTATGTCGAGAGCTTTGAGGATATCAGACCCAAAAACCATAGTCATGTATGCTGGGAAGATAACCCAAAGTCCACTGGAATTGGATTAGCATGTCTTCGATAGGTACAAAAAGGAAAAACTTACTTCATGATGCCGTAAAACCAAAGAAGAGTGAGCCAGTCGTTGTGGCCAACATTCGCAAAGCCAGAGAAGTACTCGTTGAAATCTGCAGACGTTAGATCCCCGCTATGTTCAAGTCTATCAAATGTGGAACTTACAGTACAAAACGGTCTTGCTCAAAGTCATGACAGCAGCCGCAAATCCAATGAGCACGGCGCGGTTGCCAGGCTTGCCTCGCACTTTGCGTGCGCCAGAGAGCCAAGCGCTGACGCCTCCCCCGACCTGAACACCCGTTCCGACGGGAGCTGGCAGACTGTGGTTGTAAATGATCATGACGTAGAGGCCGTAGAGAACAGTTTCAACTGCATTCAATGCGCCCTGCGCGCCACCAAATCCATCCTTGTTGTCCCATCCGGGCTGTCCATAGACGTGGTCAATGGCGGCGTATATCTCATATGGCTTCCAAATAGGCCATTGAATAGCACCACCTGCCATGGTATGCGGACGCAGGAGAATATAAAGAGTATCCCAAAGGACGAGGGGTAGCGATATAGACAGCCACAAAACTGTGATGTTTGACACGGTGTGACACCATCCTACTTCATCCACCTCGGCAGGAGAGGGAGGTGCGGCGACGGCGACAGTGTTGGACACAGCGCGCCTGGCAATCGATTTCGCGGCTGAGGCATTGAAGTCAGGGGACGAAGGCGCAGGTGATTCTGTGGATGTACGCGACCGGGCTGGTCGCTTCGTGGGCGACGGCTCGGTGGCGGGAAAGTCACCGCGTGGATGTTGACGCGTGGCGACCATGGTAGCAGTGGAGTCACATGTACTGATTGATGCGTGCGATGTGCGTTTACGCAGAGTTAACCATAAAAGCAAGACAGCCGCAACGAGAAGATGCAGGTAAGCTGTTGTTTTGATGATGATGTAAAGAATGGAGCTTGAGAATGGATGAGCGAAGTGGGGTTTCGTGCCCGTACCGGTAAGTTACTGGTACCATCCCCCCGGCCGTACCGCATCCGTCTTCCAGGGGAAGCCATGCTCAAAAGCGGAAGGTGGTGGCTTTACCAACACCACCAACATTGACTCATGGACTCGACTTGGTCCTTTTGGCGAGATGATACGGTAGTGCGACATGTTGGCATAGAGTAGCAGCGTGGGGGGGGGGGCAGATCCTATCCCACGGACTTCAGCTCCCTTCACCAATACCCATGGCCCAATAGGACACTACATTATGACCAGCACAAATACACTCTTGAGCCACTGAATAACCAGATTTACCAGGGCTAATCTCGGAGATTTTCAATCTATTCCAAGTCGAAATCTCTTATTGGCAACTGGGGAACTGGGGACAGCGACTCTCAAATGCCCTATATTATGTAGTACATTATGGAGAGGCACAGGCTGTGAATGTAAATGTGACAACTCTATCAAGAACTTCCCTAGTCAGAAATCCTCCCATCTCGCTCTCCAACGACGCTACTATTTCTACACTTCGCCATCGCATTCTCTCCAATTCCTGAGACCCGACAGAACTACCTCGTCATGTCTCTCAATCGTTTGCCCCCTGGTAATCGAGCATACAAAGGCCAGCTTAACAAGCATCGCAATCAATATCTATTCCATATAAGCGCACGTCCATCAGTCACATTGACCATCTCAACATCCCAAATCTCCATTTCCACGGGCTACAAATCACCCAACAAGTACCAATATCAAAAGCCACAGATTCAGCAAAACTCCTCATGTCTCACCCACCCAACAGCGCAGAAATCATCCAACGCGCTCCTCAGCATGGCATTGTTGTCCACAGCTCAGCAACTCGACTCCCCACATCCAACATGGAATCTACTCATCCTCCTACCAGTGGATCCCAGCCCCGCTTCGCCAATAACAAAACATACTGCTCAGAGCCGTCGTGTGGCAATGCCTTTGCTGTTCAGCCATATGGTATGAGCCCGGATGATGATGTCTTCATCAAGATACGATGTGCAGAGTGCCAACCGGTCATCATGATACCTCTCTACCTTGGTACAAATGAGCGATCCATGTGGTGATTTAGGCTGCATAATAGAGGAAATACAAAGGGAGGAAACAGAGTAGATATATATGGTGCTCTTTTGAAGTATCGCGCAGGCACCGAATGGAGACATTGTATATTAGTGCTCAACTGTGAGTAGAATATGTGGGTGGTAGCTGGAAGACCCTTGACATCTCCCTGTTTTACACCACTGCACTTCACTCTACTTTGAATTAATCTGCACACACTACCACGTCTACCTTCCAACCTGCTCTGACTCATCTTGTTTTCCAGAATCCTATCACAAGCATCTCCATCACCCCATACTTTCACCCCAAGCCCACTCAATCCATCTCCATCCGATTATACCTCTGCCCCTTCCTTCTCGCACCCTCATCTGATCTCTCGCAGATAATAAAGGATTTGTTGCTTATGTAGGAAATTTTTGTTCAATGTTTACAGTAGTGATGGAGACAGAGTTCACGCGCTTGTATGATGGTCTGTGTGCCTGGAGGATTTGAGATGCAGTCCATCAATGTTGGATGCGAGATTTGCTATTGCTCTCTCATTGATGTATCGCATACTCTCATTGTCTGCAACAAAACAATCATGGGAAAATGGCCTTTTGCAGACAGCAATACCGACTAGGAGAGAGAACGGTTGGACAAGAAATTGTACATAGAATAGCGAGTGTATTCGAGGTGCTGCTGCGTATAACAGACGCAATGTTTACTGCTATTAGCAAAATAAAATCATCAACTTATGACTCATAATAATCTTCCAACACTTAGGAGCTGTGAATCAGAATGCCTATAAGTCCAATTGCATAATTCGTTCCATAGCCAAAACCTTGACCACGACTCCTGCTACTGCACCGTAAAAATCTCGCCCCCGATAAGACGCCGAACATCGATCTTCCCATTCTCTCACTCACATGACAATACAATAACAACACTCCCTATCTCCCTTCCCAGATTCTCCATCAAGATCCATGTCAGGATACACACTGAGCACCGCTACTCTGTACTCCTCCACTTCATGATACAAAGCCCCTTTTACAAGACTCGTCTCATCCCCCGCCACAGATGCCTGATACAGACTCAGCGAACTGCTCTTCTTCATGCGCAACATCGCAGTATCGGCACGTTCACGCGCATCACCGCGCTGACGTCGCTGTGCCTCCAAATTTTCAAAAGAGATCCATGGCGGGGGCCGAGGCCCGGCTTGTTGGCCTGGTAAGGGATGAGAGAATGTTGGCAGTGATGGGACATATGGGATGTAGCTTGTGTCAGGTAAAGATGGCATGATTTCTATGGATGGGACATATTTTAGGCAGCACATAACAGACGCATGGTTAATTGATTGGTGTAAAGGTGGAGAAGGTGGGCGATCAAGACTGAATGACGGTCGGCGGCCGAATTCATAACGCAACTGTGCATCTTTTGACTCAGTCCGACGGTGCGCCCAGTCTTCCTTTATTTCGGAAGGAAGTCCTCGTGCTTGGGAATATGGGGATTGCACGTGGTAGCGGTGTAGGTCGGAGGCGTGGGGGCTTTGAGAAGAAACACGCGATCGCAGGATAGGGCTGACTTGAGGAAGTTCCAAGGCATGTTGAAGTAGCCATCCCTCTGTTGTTGTGGATAGTGCGGGTGAGGTTCGATGTCCGGAATTGAGGAGGTCGGGTGCCGGGAACGGTGTGTCATTAGCATTGAAGCCTTGAGGCATGACTGCAAGTGGACTGAATATATCTACGTATGGCCCCTCGTTCTGAGCGTCATAAGAGTCAACGACAGTCGTAGATTGGGTACCCTGTTCAATATGAAGAGGAATCTCAAGAATGTTGGAATTCGCTTCGCTTCCTTGATGGTCCTTTAAACCGAGGAGCGGTGCTTCCTCGCTTCCCCTCAACCACCAATTTGATGACCGGGGAGATTTGCCTTGAATTCCTCGATCTGGCAGTGATTTTACATCTTTGTTAGGTAGCAGCCGCGGTGATAGTGTTTTGTCGTACAATGGGTTCTTTCCTGGAGCTAGCAAGTGGCTGCCGCGTGGGGTGACAGCTTGTGCGATGTGATTAGAGTCAATCAACCGTGTATTACCAGACAGTGGTTTTCGGTTGGTCTTTAGTGACCTTATATTGCTTTTGCTTCCCGTATCCAATGTTGCTACTTGGTTGGAACTGGCGGGAGTTGTTGTTGGTGACGAGCTGCAAGTAGCAATGTTTATGTCGATTTCCTGATGCGTTCGGTCGGTTGAAGTCAAGATGGAAATCGGCTTACGAGTATGTTCGACTCGCAGAAGTTCCAGTGTAAGTAGATCTGGACTCTGGGGACGCGATATTGAGGCCTCAGTCACACAGTACGGTTGGTACGGTCGAGGTCCTCCATGATCGGGAGAGAGCGGAACAGCATCGTCTTGGGATTCTGATGATGGAGGCATGAGGCGTTGAGGCGTTGAGTATTTTCGGATCTAGTTATCATGATGGTGTTGGTGGCGAGTGTATTCATAACACTGTGTGGTAATGGAGGGCAGCGGTGGGCTATTTATTCAAAAGAGTCAGTGCCGTTGTACACGCTACGGTCGCTGCGCGTTTGCTTGTCGCAATGGCTAAGTGTGGCAATGCTCGTGCCTTTTTCAGTTGAGATCTGATTTGCGAGAATGATGATGCCGCTGGTAATTTACTACTCAAGGTGAAGTCAAGTGGATATATTCCAAATGATCGCACTATTCAAAGTGCTCATAAACCAATGGCTGCATAAAAGTCCAGGATACCCTTCCTCATGCCTTGCTCGAACAGCCAGGCAACATCACCTCCAAGGCCGCTTTCACGGATTCGTTTGAGTACCCACAGTTCCAGCATCCCAATCTTGTCGCCTTGCGTGGCCCGCCCCTCTAAGAATGTGAGAGCATCCTGATATCCGATCTTCCAGCCATCGTCGTAATTTCTGTGCTCATAATGGCCGTTAGCATCGGTGCGCTTCCAATAGGCGACATGTTGTTGTAGCGCTTCGTGTCTCCGATCGCGAAACTCGTGCCTGGCTTTGTGCAGCAAGCGCTGCTTGTCTTCTGTAGATAGCGTAGAAAGCTGAGGTGGTACAATATTCCCAGCATTGGATTGCGCAACGAAGCCCCACTCTCCGCCCGGCATCCAATCCATTTTCCAGTTCCAAAAGTAGCTTCCGCCTGCTCTCTGCTGGTATCTCATACATTGCACATGACCGAACTGCTTTACGAGCTCTTCCTTCGGTATGCCGCCCGACTTGTTCCAAGAGTTTTCGCTCATCACACACGAGTATTCGCCAATGATTGCCTGCACAGCACCGCGATCGTGGACAGAACCTTCCTTACCGTCGAGTTGCGAAAGTCTCTGGCCAGCTTCACCAATGATTTGCTGTGGACTCTTGGCTTTATCGCCATCCGTGAACGCCCAGTAACAATGCGTATCCACGACCACTGGACTTGATAGCTGATCGATTGTGTTTTTCTTGAATGAGTAGTCGATAGCATGATCCAAGTTCCAGGCATCTGAGATAACAACGGGTATACTTGGATCAATCGAGGATATATTTGCAATGGCCTCGTCGTACCATTGATACATATTTTCAGCATCCCCTATTGCTTCATTGACCAACTGTATGCCAGCAATGTCGAGACCCTGTCTTGAATCCTCGGCAATAAATTGACAGCAGCGCACTCCAAGAGCACGATTAAAAGGACTGTTCCAGAATTCAGCTCGACCGCTGTTGGTACCTGAGTGCTCCTGAGCGTTTGCGCCTCCAGGCAGGGCATGCAAGTCAATCAGCACGCCGATAGAGCGAGCTCGCAGTCGAGCGATCAACGTACGAATACTGTTCCATGCTTCGCTGTAGACATAGGCGTATGGCTCGAATGGTGTACCTTGAGTGAACTCCATGCCGGGTAAGTCATAATAGCCGATGGGCAAACGGACCGTTGTGACCTTGGCTACGTTGGTGAGCCATTCAAGTGCTTCCTCAGGTATCGAATTCGCCCATTGCTCTTCAAACTTCTGCTTCGTGGCCTCGATACCTATTATGCTCACCCATGCTTGAACAGCAGCCAGTTCGCTTGAGCCTTCGGCACCGTCGGGGAACCGAGACGGTTGTAACCAACGTTCGATGACGTAGACAGAGCCTAGATTGGTGCCGTAATGGTATCGGTAGCGAAGAATGTCGAGGCGACTTGGCTCACGTATTCCGCGTGGTTGGCGATGTTGCAAGCTATCGGAGTCTTGATGCTCCTGTTGCTGGGGATACGATACGCCATTTCCATATCGTTGGCCACCAGGAAAGTCTACAGTGTTGTCACGTTGTGTGACGCTCTTGAGCTCAGCTTTGGCCTTTTGAAGGAAGCCTTTCATGTTGAGCAGGCTGCATAGCATTAGCAGGAAGGTTGAGAAGCGCATAGTTGTCGTATACTTGCATGTTGCAAAAGAATTTCTGTTCGAACACCTTAATGCTGCGACGTCGACTCTCACGCTGAATTCGCTGTTTGCGGTTCCTGAGTCAATTTCGAGGAATGCAAACACTCCTACATTCACCTTCCCTCTCTAGTGTTGGAGTTCTCATAGAGTACTAAGACTCGGTAGTAGAGCCGCGTAACCGTGCACAAGCTACCCGCAATGACGTAATGCCTGACATATGACAGTGATCTCGTGTAACTATCACACTTTATAGTTGTGGAGGATCCAGGACACAGTCCGAAACTGACGATCTGAAGTAGACCGTTCGAATAAGACATCTCGCTCTTAAGTAACGTCCGCGAGATCCTCACACGAGATTTTGCGTCCTAATGCCATTTTCGAATGGGTTTGCTGACAATAGCATGTGCTCACCCAGGTATTCCGAGCTCGGTGTGATAACGTTAAGAATGCGCTACACTGCGTGGGACACAGAGAACATATTCCAAAGAACGGTGATTTACGTGGAGGCTTCGGAGGCTTCGGTGACTATCATGCCAACTTGGAACCATTTCACATGGACAGATTCTTCTTGGTGGGCGTCTCATCACATAACAGATGATACTGCGAAAGGAGGGTGGAGAGGAATGGAGATGGTGCCTGGATGGGTCAACATGTAAGCTACATACCTAAGCGAGACCCTGAGCTCCCCCACCCAATCGCGTCCGAGGTGGCCTCTGCTTGACGACTTCCCTACCACAGAGACGCGACCACTTCTCACAACAACGAGCAACTCGCGATATTCATTCGTGGTTGTTTCTCCTCTGTTTAAGAATATTAATCAAAACACATTCTTACTCTCGGTTCCTGCTGTCTTGCCCAGGATCACAACAGCGCAAACGCCTCGCATCATTCACCTCGTCACAACGCGTCTCCACATTCGACAAATCGCAGTAAGATATGAGCGCCACTACACCGCATAGAGCATCCATGGCAACTTCATATAGTCCATCCATAACACCCTCACGACGCGTGCTAGGTGATCTCACACCAAAGGCTATAAACACGCCATCCTCGCAACCAGCAGGCTTGGGCCCGCCTCAAGTCACTCGAGCACAAAGCCCGCTTAAACAAGTTACTCCACAAAGCCCGGCCAATTCTGCAGACAAAGAGAACCACGGACACTCGCAGGCGTATACGCAGGGCAAGAAGCGGAGTATTGACGAGGTCGACAGCGCAGAGACCGTAGATAACCTCAAAATGCTTGCGCGTGGTCGCGGAGACAGCCTCGTGGACCCAGTGACGCGGCTGACTACCGACGCGATGCATGTCCACACGGTAGATAGCATCCCTATTCATACACTCTCCAACGCACTATTTTGTGACTAATGCAACGGACAGCAAAACAATCCAGTTGGGTTTGCGAATCCAGGATCACCTACCGAACGCAATACACCTACCCCAGAGCCAGAAATCATGCAAAACTCCCAGAGAAGCAATCAATCCTTCTCCGACCTGCTAAACTACGAAATGTGCGCTAGCCAGAAGAGCGAGCATGGCATCCCACTTGAGCCAGCACGACCATCCATGGCTGCTCCCTCAGCATCTCAATCGCGAAAATCGCGCGCAGAACACCTACGAACGCGTCTCAAGTTCGGTCTGTATAAGGTCAAGACGAATCAAGTCGGCAAGCGCGACGCAGATATAATATCAACCTACGAAGCCACCGTATCCTACACATCCAACGCGTCAGGTAAAAAAACACCCATCGAATCGCTTCACTCCCAAAAACACGTCCCAAACATCACAATCTCATCATCACACCACAACGAAACCCCAATCTTCATAAAGGCAAACCTCGACCCCTTCCGCCCCATTGGCAAACTCGGCGCCGCACCAGTCCTGTTCATGCCCCCATCTTCACACAACCTCACCACAATCTCACGAGAACCTACATCATACGACCCTCCATGTCCCCATCCATGCGCCCCCGCCAACCTAACCCAATCGGTTTCGCCGCAACAGCTCATGTCGCCCTTGAGGCAGAAACAACATTCACATTCACAGTACGCGCAGGCATCGCGTGTGGGCGAATACGACGACGGGGACCTTAATGCGGCGCAGGCGCATGTGTCCACACATCGAAGACTACAAGGACCTAGGGAATGATCCTGTCATTAGATGTAGCGTGGGAAAGAGGAATGCAGTCGAAGCTTTGTTGGCGCGCTGGGCGGTAGGGGAGCATTGTAGGATCACCGATCTTATGCCTACTGACTTTCTGTGTCTGGCATTCTTGACATTCTTCAATAGTGTTTCCTGTATGACTTATGAAGCTTAAGTAACAAGCAAGTATTATTACACCATTTCGAAGCATGTTCATGATTTGTCTATATGTCCATGCTGGACTGAATTGAGCAGATATCATGAGAGTGGGATAAGCCACATCCTCTGGTCCAATATCTTACCAATGAATTGCCCATAACTGCAGGAATACGATTGTTACGACAAAGCGCATTGTCATATTCGGAATTCCTACTTCATATGATGCCAGTTAGGACTTGAAGATAGGATCACGTGATGTTGGGTGAGTATGTAAGCCTTGCATTAGCGCGCACGGAAACTTCAGGTCCAAGCTTTCGCATGTCTTAACTTTTCGCGACTGTTCACTACCAAACTTTTCTCAATCACACTCCGCGCGTCTTCTCAGGCTCAGGAACCGCGCAAGGCAGCGCATCGCGGCCTCTACAGGCACAATGATCATCTCTACTAATCGTCCACAGCTCTAGCGCTGTCCTTGAAGCTGAACACATCTGGTACGTAACACCTTTCCCACTCTTGCCTTATCCCACACCCATATGATGATACACAAAGCCAAATTCAAACTAGAGTCTTTGACCTCTCGGGGAATGAAACCTCTACTTTTGCACGTCAGTCTGAATACGACTGCTCTCACCGATCCTACTCTCAACAGCTTATAAGACTGAAGCTGACCGCAATAGATGATGTGCCCATCTACTACTAGTACACAGCTGGATGTATAGCCATTATGACCGGTCCGTGAGCGAGACACCATGTCTCCTTATCGTATGAGTGCGTACTCCCTTATTACCTCCTCTCTCTCCTATGATGATCAGTTTGTGCTTCGGCACGCTGGAAATTACCGACTCAGGCTTCGGCCGATGCCGATATACAATGGCTGTTTCTGATAACGACCCAACTTGTTGTACCTTTCTCTACATTGTCGCGTAGTATCCTGCTAACATGTTGCGCCATTAGGTCTCATTCGCTTCCCAACCTGCCTCGGTACGCCGTCCTCTTCCTCAAACTCAAGCACGTACATTTTGTGATGATTCCGCACTGGGCACCGACAATTCTTGATGGACACGCTCATTATGGCAGGCCTAGAAAACCTCGCCGACTGATCATGTTGCACTGTCTCACAAGGACGTTTCTTCTATTCAGACCCTCGGCTGATCAAGTGGCAGAATGTATAAATCGATCGACACCGCCGATGCTTGTTGGTAAGTACTTCCTTATTCCATAATTCTGGAAATGAAGAGACCTTTGATGACGAGTCTAACGGGTTCGCCCGGGTGACGAGACAAACCAAATTATACCATTCATGCCAACTGATCCAACCACAACTGCTTCATTAGCTTGACTTTTCGTCGGGGAATACTAGCTAATACGCACCACAGATGGCCATGTATCACATTATGCTGCTTACGGTACGCCCCTGATCCAAACATGCCCTTCCGAAATGATGAATCGACGATTATCAAAGACAAGCATATGTCCAAGCTTTGGCGAAGACGAGAACCGTCATGTCTGATCTATAACCATGTTGCTGTGCGCTTCATGATTTGAGAAGCATCGACTGACTGGTCGTAGAGACACCAGATTACTTGTCTTTGAAGTGACTTGTGCATGAAGTAAGCTACTATCTTTTACCCTCCTCTCCAGCTCAAAAGATGAACATTTAATTTATCACGACGGTCTACCGAGCTACGGCAATGGTGATAACTGCCTGTGACAAGGCAAGAATCTGATTACTTCACACACGCTAGTCTAACATTTAGCTCTTTTATGACAACACATGCTGACTCTGCGACAGATTTTAACCAACTGATTTCAACTAGCTCGGCTTCTTGCTCTACATGACACGATCCACACGGTCGTGTCTACTTCTCCGTTACCATCGTGATTAGCACGCTCTCATTTGAAGAGTTACATGTGCTTGAGTTGGACCAAACACCGTTCAATTGTCTTGATGTAGCCATCGTAGCCATTGCATAACTACAGGTCTGAGTTCCCTGGTAAAGGATAAAGAACTCATACTTATACATCCACCAACTTATGTACACCCCAGATTGATTACTTAATACAACCCAATTGTGATGTCACCGCGAATCCTTGCCGTCAAATGGATCTCTGCCTCCAAGTCTAGTTTGATTCCGAGCAATAGCGCGGCATCCTTGAGGTTTCCCTTGTCGTCCGTGGCTCCCTTGATAATGTTGCCTGCCGGCCGACTGAGGCCGGCTGATGAAGGAACGGGACCGATGTTGTTGCTGATCTTGCGGCCGCCGCTCGCTCGACCTTCGCTGTCAGAGTCGGAGCCATAGCCTGTTGGGCGAATGGTGGGTTCACTGGCTGCGAATCAGTCGAGGATGGTGTAGGTGCAAGCAGATGTTGACTTACACAGTAGACATGTTTAAGGAGAGGCGGGATGTAGAGCCAGACGTAAGGAGGGAGAGTTGCCGTTTATGGGATGAGTAGGAAGGGCGTTGATATTAAGCTTTGCGTGATGAAAGAAGGCTCCAGGCCGATGGTTTGTCCGTTTGGTCCTCTGTAAGAAATGTTGTAGTTTAGTGAGAAGCAGATCGACCGTCCTGCCTTTCAAAAGATACCTTGACGGCAGCCTTAAGTATCATGGCATGGCATGCAAGGCCCCCGCTGTTAATACAAACGAGCCACCCCATTGCTATCCGTGAGGGGCACCGAGTAAGGGGTGCCGGCCATGCGTTTGAGGCGAGAACACTCATCGTTCGACTCGCACGCAAAACCGCGAAGGCTAGATTTCGGTTTTTGGCGATCTTGTCCTGGATTGCTGGGGAGCGTGTTGGAGTCCGACTGGGGTTTTGGAGGGGGCTATACTGTTGTGTGGGTGAAACACGCAGGGGGATGGGGCAATGTCTCAAGATGGTTAGGGACGTCGTTGTAGTAGGGTGAGTATCACCCCATCATATTCACTATGTATGTGATGCTATGCTGGAGAATAGGGTTGGGACCTGGGTTACTACTAGAGATAGGAATAAGGGGATGTCATTTATGTTTCGGTGCACAACGTATATGCAGATGGTCGTGCGATCTGGGAGTAGCTCAAACACAAAGATGATAGTCTGCGGGATCGTTCGGTCCTTTTGGAACGCTTTGTACAAAGCAAGTATTGATATCGAATTTTCATAGATTTTCATCATGCTGTCTGGACCTGGCAGTATCGATGACCCTTTAGTGCTTCGACTGGTGGTGAAGCAGGACACCGATTCTGAGATGTGGACAGCATAGAACTTGAGCATGAAATGTAACAGTCCGAAACTCTACGCTTCTCGATCCTGTCTTCCGCCTTCACCATGGTCCTCTCAATCCTCATCGCCACCATAACAGCGCCGGGTCTCCTTGGATCCCAAGAAGCCATCAGACAATCGCAGTCCAAAGAGAAGAAAGAAGAGCATCGCGCTCGTCGTTGTAACCTCATAGCAACATGCGTCAAGTCTTCTCGGAGAAGCCGCGATATTGATGGCAGACAAATTGTTCTCCGCAACGGAAGACTCTGGATTGATACCGGCACTGAAGACGGCAGTCCGCTGGGCCATCCATATGCAGGATACTATCTGCCGTATCCAGACTCCAAGTACGAGGGTCTCGTCACGACGATCACTGATGTCGCGCCTATAATGAACTGGATATATATTGATCGGGAAACTCATCAAGTGCGTTACGGCGTTCGTGCTGACGCGCAGCCCAATCTCACGGGACCATTTGATTGTACGCGTCAAGACCGCCGGCTTACATTTGATGGATGGGAGGGTTGGTGTGCGGTTGAAGAGGTGCCGGGATTATGGGCGCTGTACTTTGACGTCGATGACGACGGTTTGAAACAGAAAGTTGAGCCTGGAAAGAAAGTACTGGAACTAGAGTTGACTAGAAAGGAGAAGAGGTTCCAGAAGGAGAAAGAGGCAAGACAGCAGGATCAGACGACAAAACGGAAGGTTGATGTCAAGGAGGATGCGCCGGTTGATCAGCCGCTCAGTGCTGCGGCACTGGTATCGAAACCGGGAGTACTGGATGGTCAGAGTGAGCAGGTCAACAGTGAGACGGGGCAGGGCGAGCAAGGAGACGGTGGTACGCAGGCGTGGAAGCCCCTCAAAATCCCGAAGAGCATATTTGATGATCCACCGCCTATGGTTGCGCCGCTTGCGTTCAGACCTAGGACGCCTCCACCTGCGTATTCACCCGCAAATAAATACAAGTCAGCTGAAGGTCGCCAACCGACAGTTAGAAAAGAAAATACTCAGCCAGTTAAGCCGGAATCTGGTGGTGCGATATCCAATACTCCTCCAGTCGTATCAGCGAGCTCCAGCCCAGACGCTGGGAAACGCACACCTCCGAAGAGAAGCAGTGGTACGAAAGCGCTGGCACAGGCTCAGAAATTTGAGGCCCTTGCGGCTGGGAAGGTATTTAAAGATGAAAGCAGAGCGAATGAGAGTCGCCGCTCATCTCCAGACGGCCAAGTTGTAGGATATGTTTCTTCAGAGTACTCCAACGATGGACAAGAGCCGAGCAAGAAATTGCAACCAAAACGCACATCATTTTCTACACCCTCACCTCTAAGTCTAGCAAAAGCCAAGGAAGTGTCACACCCCTCGCAAGAATCGAAGACGGTCGCGAACACAGAACCTTCAAAGGTGGCAACAGATCCCGCTATATTCTCAGGAACGACCAAAAACACGGGAAGATCAGGACAGTCACGTCGTCCAACGATAACAAGCCAACCATCACAATCGTCCACAAGGCCAACACCAGGCAGCACCTTGCGAACGCCGCAAGCAAAGAAAGAGGCTTTCCCCCAAAGAAAACGATCTTCCTCCGAACAGCCCTATCTGAAGAGTGACTCACCCGCTCGGTCACCTAGTAACGCAACAACACGAAAGACAAGCCAGCCATCCCGCACATCTTTGGCAAGAACCATGACAACAGGCACAGGAAACAGAGGTATGGCAAGTCGATTTGGAGGGAGACGAGACGAGACGAGTCCGATGCGTGGGCGATCGAATACGACGAGTGGTACACGGGGAAGACCTGCGAGGAAAACGACGTCTGCTCTGTTTAGGGAGATAGACGATCTGGTTAGTCAAGATGCACAAGGTTCGGTTGTGGGTGATGGTAGTGGTCGGTCACGCGGAGGTAGTTCGAAACAGGTGGATAACGACGGTGGTAAGGCGAGGTGGATATAGAAATACCCAGAACGCTTTTATGTTTGTACAATACGTATACATGAGTATATTTGCAGTTTTCTCCATGTTCTGGATATTCTGGATGGGTGGTTGTCTACAAAGTAGGCCACAAATCAGGACGTGCAAGGTGGAAGGTGAGAAGCTAGCAAACGCGCTACCGTACGACGCGAACCACCAACCTCGTACCTTGCGTGCTCGTGTAGACATCTATATACCGCTATGATATCAAAGACAATAAGATCCCCAGATCTTGGTTCACGTCTCCGTCTACCTGCCTTTGTGTGCATCGAACTAGCTTCGAAATGTGAAACTCGACCCACCATCGGCTGACCAGGTTGTTGGCATGCTTCAGCATCTGTGTCGGAGTACATCCCAAGATGCCGCAGCAAAGAACAATGTCACGCAACGGAGAGGCTTGCCCAAACGTCTGCTGAAGACGAGGCTAGAGGCAGATTGGCCTTGCCCATTCGGTCAATGACTTGAGTTCCAGTAGTCCGTCATCCACGGTACCTTGCTACTAACACACACGAGCCTGCTAGTCCAGACATCGATTTCTGAACCAGAATCTGAAGTAAAAGTGCTCTGGATCAATCGCGCCGTCTTTGTCAGTTCTCTCAATCCTACTATTGCATCATACCCAACTCCCCCACGTTGAATTCCAAAACTTATCCCCCAAAATGGACGCATCTACCAGGTTGTATCAACGATTGGCCGAGATTCCTGAAGACCCTGAAGACCCAGAGAGCTTAGACGATCTTATTGTATGCGCATTCGGAGCTTTCGAGCGATACTACGTGTGTTGGAAGACCAAAGGGGGTGAATACAGGCAAGGTGAGCAGTTTCGATATTTGCCTCATTCTAGACTGATCCGCCTAGATGGCTATGATCTTCCTCCCGCGCTGCATGAATGGCTATACCCTTCCGATGGCACAAGGCGAGATTTCGCCTCCCTTCAAGTGGTGTTTGGACGAGGCGAGGAATATTTTGCGTCTGACAAGAACGGAAAGCTAGAATACAAGGAGCCGGAAGTGAGGAAGCAGGTGGAAGAGGAAGAAAAGATTGACCGCATGGCACTGAGAAGGTCGCGAACGGTTTCGTTCCTGCGACCCTTGTCAGACACGAGCGTCAAATCCGATGCGACAAGCGCCGATTCATTCAACAGCAGACAGTCCCGGTCATCGTCGATGTCGTCACAGCGAGCTTCACGGCCACCAAGTTTAACAAATTCAAGGACAAGTTCGGATGGGTCAGTGGCATCACGGCCGAGCTCGAGACCTTTGAGCATAGTGTCGACCCATGCGAGAGCGCACTCTTCCTTGAGCTCGCAATGGGCCCTGGGGAGCGAAGACACGGCAAAGCACAAGTGTCCAGACACCGCCGTGGACATGAAGCCCCCAAGATCCGACGAAGCTACCAAGATCATCACCGCTGCATCTGAACTTCAAGATCCCACTGAGAATCCACAGCCATGTACATGTGGCCACCGCGCATCGCAACCCCCACAACCCCCCAGACCAGCCTACGCCAACGCCAGCGTGCAGACCGATCCCGCTCCCTCACCTCTCCGCATCGACACCTCCACTCCCCCAATGTGGTCTTCGCAGAACAGCTACAGCGCAGTGTCCCAAGACAGTGAAACACCACTGATAAAAGTGAATCCGCTAGTCGTGGGACGATCGATTGATTACTTTAGTAAACCAGATTATCAGCTCGGGGATAGTCTGACATTTGGCTATCACAGCCTTCAACCGCTAGTGTATCAGTATCAGGATGAGTTTGTGGGTGATGATTTGCATTGACGGTTTGTTATGACTCGTAGATTGCTCTGTAAAGAAATGGCCGTCTCTCTTTGCAGCTGAAATGCTCTGATGCAAATGCAAGCTTTACTCGTCGACCACGCACGTTATTTTCCTCTTGCTGCAGACTTGTTGTGTCTTACTCGCTCCATGTCCAGTAAAAAAGGCCAGCACAGGGAGGGACACACGCTTCCACCAGAGAGAGTTTCTATAGAGGATCATACGCAAGCCATCATGTGCCATATCTTGTGAGTGAATCTGCCTTCTTCGTCCGGTGTGGAAGCATTCAGTGAGGGAAGGGACAGTATCGTGCCTTCCTTCCCAATCACCTTTTGGGATTTCAGATTTCTTGGCTTCAGGGTCTGTCATCACGTCATGTCCAGAACTAGCGACGGTCACATGTCCAGTTGCTGTTGTTTGTTGTTGTTGTTGTTGTTGTTGTTGCTGTTGTTGTTGTTGTTGTTGTTGTTGTTGTTGTTGTTGTTGTTGTTGTTGTTGTTGTTGTTGTTGTTGTTGTTGTCAAGGGAAGGTGCGATTGTGAATTCTCGCCAACACTTCGCACAAATCTTTTCTCCTGAAGCCCCCAATACCTTTTTTTTTTTGAAACGGCGTGGCACAGTTGCCGACTCATTTCCGTCACTTGATGAGATGGGGAACAGAAAAGCTGACGGTACAGTACCTTACTCTACCATGGACGGGACCCATTTTTCCTATGGTCAGCTGACATGCTGCCTCTGCGGCTTGACTGGATTCGTCATCTTGCATCATGGCTTTTGATGTGGGCGGAGAAGCTTGCTTGCTTTCTTCTACCTCTACTCCTCCTTCTGCTTCTGCTTTCGCCGCTGTGTGATTGTTCGGCCGAGTTTTGCCTGAGTGGCTGCGTACCTTTGTAGGAGATTCGGGCGCTGCATACGCGACATCTACCGCGTACCGTGAATACTTTTGCATGGTTGATGCCAATGCGGACATGGGAGATGGATTAAGTCTGCGCACGCCAGTCCCCCCCATCTGCAACCACTCACACACTCGTTTGTACCACCAAAACCCACCATGGCCATCCGGCCCCTCAACTCGAGTCTGATATTCGACCGTCGCATCATCCTCGGCCTCCTCGCCATCCTCGTCCTCGCCTTCACATTTGCATTTCTGTACAGTCCCGACCTCCGACCTCGCGCCGCGGCCTGGATTCCGCCGCTGAACTCGAAGCCGCCCACACCAGCGTTTGTCGCCCCGCCCAAGGACCCACGAGACCCCAACATCGTCACCCTCGATTATCTTGCGATCCGACCCAACGTCACCGATACAGTGCGCTCGTACTGGAATATCCCGTACGCGGCGTCGACGGCCGGCCGGAACAGGTTTCGCGGACCGCAGCCTGTGAATCGGACGTATGGGCTTGGCAGGGGCGAGGAGCCGTTGGTGTGGGACGGCAGTTTGGGCATGTGTCCGCGCATCCAGAAGAGGGATGCGAGTTTGAGGAATAGGGAGGATGTCGCTGGTGAAGATGTGTTGGGGATCAAGGCACGCATCACAGAGGATTGCCTGAGCTTGAATGTCTTTACGCCGTTTGATGCCGAGGCGGGGGATGATTTGCCGGTGCTGGTGAATATTCCGGGCGGTGGGTTCCATTTGCCTGGCCGGAGCAATGGCGGGGAGATGGTGGAGAAGAGTCGTCGGGAAAAGGGTGTGGAGGGCAAGTTGGACAAGGGCATCATTGTGGTGACCATGTACTATCGCAACGGCATCTACGGCTTTCTCTCTGGCGAGCAGATTGCCAAGGATGGCGACTACAACAACGCGCTGCGCGATCAAAGGGCGTCGCTCGAGTGGGTTCAAAAGTACATTCGCTTCTTCGGCGGCAACCCAGACCACGTCGTCATCATGGGAACCAGCGCAGGCGGTGCCAGCGTCCTCCTCCAACTGACCGCCAACGACGGCGACCACCACGTCCCCGTCCCCGGCACCGGCCGCAAACCCCTCTTCCACGGCGCCATCGCTCAGAGCCCCGCAAGTCCAACCTTCTTCACCCCGCCGCAAGCCGAGAAGTTCTGGAACGAGGTCGCAGGCGGCCTGAATTGCAGCGACATCACCTGCGTCCGCAATGCCAGCCCCGGCGACCTCTACTACGAAAACTACCCCATGTCCTTTCCCGGCCGCAACACGCCGCCCCGTTGGATGTGGGCGCCCACCACCGAGCCCAAAGGCGGCATGTGGACGCAGCCCGCGCCCGCCGCCATCCTGCACAACCACTACGCCAAAGTGCCCACCCTCATCGGCTTCACGTCCAACGAAGGCACCGACCAGGTCAAGAAGACGACGGACAACGAAGGCGAATTCAAATCCTACCTCGCAGACCACTACCCCTTGCTCACAGACGAGGATCTCGACGCGCTCGTCAAACTGTACCCGAATGACCGCCACTGGCCGGACAGCGGCAAGTACTGGGACGCCGTGGCCAAGGCCCAGGGCGACATCCGCTACATCTGCCCGACCTACCTGGCCAGCAACGCCATGGCACAATTCAACCCGCCCGACGTGCCCACCTGGCAATACCAATGGGACGTCATGTGGGGCGTCGACATCTCCAACGGCTTCGGCACCAAGCACGCCGGCTCCGTCGGCCAAGTCATGGTCCGCCGTGCCAACGCCATCAGCGACTACTTTATCAGTTTTGCAAAACACCTGGATCCGAATGTGGATCGGGGTACCGGGAGGCCTGTCTGGGAGCGGCTGGATCGCGAGCAGGGCAAGAGGCTGTTTTTCACAAACATCAAGGAGGGCGGGAAGAGGGGGGACGGAGAGGACATGTTGGGCGAGGTCAGGATGGCGGTTCGGGGCCGGGATGAGGCGAGGGAGAAGAGGTGTGCGGTTTTGAGGGGCATGTTTAGGCGGTTGCAGATGGAGGGGGTCGAGGCGCTGGAGATTTGATTGATGCGGGGAAGGGATGTAGACATGTGGACAATGGGCTTAAACGGGTTTTGTGTCTTGGAGCGATGTGGCTGCTGTAGGTACTCGCGCTTTTACCTGTAACGGCACTGACATGCCCCGGTCGCAGGACAAGAGGGAGAATGTCCCAGCAGACGAGGGAGATTGTGGATGCGGGCATTCATACGCGATGGACTTTTTTTTTTCCTTCTTTCCTTTTGCTGTTTTCAACGTGCATGTAATCTAACTATATACAACTATCGCCTCTTCTTCTTTGTACGGAATAGAGTTACAGAGAGAGGGGCAGTCTATTGTGTATCATGTACCGTGTACCGGGTATGTCCACCGTCCAAGAGCGAAGCGGACAGGTACTATACACTCCACACCCACAAGCCTCCCTATCCATCACGTGCTCTGCCTTCCCCAGCCCTTGGACCCTTTGGTAGAGAAAAGAGAAGTGGCGTGGCGTGGCCGACATGGAGGGGTTAGCCGATATTCCCATCCCATCCATGACCGAATGAAACCGCAACACCAATTTTGATATTTTTTTTTTATTTTTTTTGTATCTTTTTTGTATTTTTTTTGGCAATAGACCTGTTTCTCCAACGAACAAAGTTTCCCAATCTACACGCAAAACACTGCACATGCACCACATCTTTTCCCTCTCCGCCCATTGCCCACACGCCGCCAATCTCCCCACTCCCACGCTAACCCCAACACTCCAGTCCACACCGCCCAGCCACACAGGCACCCAGACCCCCTAGCCGCCAACCCGCAAACGCGACCGCAACCACAGCCATGACCACCCCAAACCAAACGAAACCCGCATTTCCCCCCCCCCTTCCAGGATATATACCACCCAATCTGAAATTTACCTCGCCTTCGGGCATTTGGTCAATTTGGTACGTCGCGCCCACCCGGGATCCAGCACGCGTCTGCAAATACTAACGTCGCTGCAGAAACGATACAGAGAAGATTAGCATGGCCCCTGCACTAAGGATGACACGCTCAGTAGGTCCCAAGACTCTTGTGGAATTTCGCGGGTAATGTGCTAACCATTGCGACAGATCAAAGAGAAGCTACCATTTTTTTTGCTGGGGGGCGGGTGTTCGAGTCCGGGTTGGAGACTTTGGGCGGGTTTTTTTGGCTTTGTGTGTTTGGAGGTTGGGGCGGGCGGTATGCGGTGTCTTACTAAGCCCCAAGCCAAGGTTGGCAATATCACACTAAGCTAATATACTACCACGCAGTCCACGCTGCTAAACCCAGGCGCGTTATTTCAGCAAAGGTGCAAAAACAATTACACTTAAAGGTAATACTAATACGATTCAAGTCTCTGGTATTCATCTCGTATTACTTATAATATACATGACCTATTAGTACTTCATCACTTCATCACTTTGTGTGCAACGGCGCAAATTATCCAACAGTCCTCGCACAATCACAATCACGACTAATCTTCCTCAACAAACAACGCCCTCTTCCCCTTACCCCCCACAAAACCTCCCCAATAACAAACAAGCACAAAACACCAGCGTCCAGACTGTATTCACCCACGCCAAATGCGCTCATTCATCTACTCTTCACTCCTACGGCAACGCCTACTGCCTGCTAATCGACTTGAATCCACGGGTATCTAATCACCAACCACCACCGTGCGGAAAAACAAAAAAGGAGGCCCAGCCCAGCCCATCATTGCATACCCGCTTTGTGCCCTTGATCATCGTCATCCTTCCCTCGACGTTTCCCTTTGCCACCTTTGCATCGCCATCCCAAAAAGAATTCAAAAGTCTTCACATCACATCAAGTCCTTGAACCCCACAAAACATGTACCCCAAAAACCCAAGCCAGGCTCCCACCAAAAACAAAACCTCTTCCTTGCATGCAAACCCACAACGCATTCAAATCTGTCCGCCTTCAAATCTGTCCGCCTTCAAATCCGTCCGCCTTCAAATCCGTCCGCCTTCAAATCTGTCGGCCTTCAAATCCGTCCGCCCTCGACAATCTCCCGCCCAATCAACTCCAACTCGCCACTCTCGGCCGTCCGCCTGCGCTCCAACACCCACCTCCCTTCACCCGAAGACTCGTCATGCTCACGAACGTATGCAACGCTATCAGCCGCGCTAGCCTTGCGAGAATGGCCACCGCCACTGCTACCGGCGCCCGCACCCGCACCCAATCTCCAGGCCGCACCGCCACCCGGTGTGAGCGGCGACGCGTTCGAAACGGGCGAGATGAAACCGACAGAGTGGCGGCGGGGCCCTGTGCAATTTGACGTCGTGGCCGTGGTGGGAGAGGAGAGCGAGGTATCAATCAAAGGGGGCGGTGGCGGCCGGTTCTGCGCGAGGTAGGGTGAGGGCAAGGGGGCGGGGTAGGGAGAGAGGGGGAGGCTGACGTTGGCCGCGGTCGTGAGATCGAGGCCGCCTGGTGACATGGAGAGCGATGTGTTTGTGCCAAAGGCCATGTTGTGTTGGGCGTACAGCTCTGAGATGGGTGGAAGGAGGGGGGCTTCGTTCCCGTGGGAGTGGGCCATTGGGCTTGGGAAGGAGTTGTAATCGTTTGTGGTCAGGGTTGGACTCTCCGTCTGCTCCTGATCATCATTCGCTGCATTGTCATCCTCGTCGTATGTCGCATTGACGGCCTCCATGAGACCTTCATCATCTTCTTGACTATCCTCTAGATTTTCCAGGTAATTTGCGGACCCGTCCTCTTCCCGGTAGTCACCGTCCTGCTCCTTCATCCGGTTGCCCGCAGGACTTGATGATCTTGGGACAAACTGCATGCCCATGGGCGACGAGTTGCGTGGACTGCCTGAAGCGCTCGCGGGCAGGCTGGCGCCACTCCCACCAAATGCGCCCTTTCGCAATTTCATCAGTGCATCCATGCTCATATCTTCGGACGAGTCGGGCCACCCATACGGGCTTATGCGTGCAAGCTGTGCTAAGCCTGGGCTGCTCAATGGCTGAGTGCTGTCCCGGAAGTGATTGAGGCTGATGAATGAGTTGCGTGTACTGTATTCGCTGCGCTCCGTGATGGGCGTAAGATTGGGCTCTCGCACCGCATTACGACCACTTGGAGCGCGACCCAAGCCAGATGGCCCGAAGAATCCTCCCCAAGCGCTCGAAGCTTCGCCAGACGCTGAAGCATAGAAACCAAACTCCTGGCCGTAGAAACCCTCATCGTCGTATGCGAGTGCTTCCGCGTTAGCCGCAGCAATAATAGGATCGTCTTCCATGGCCGAGTCAAAATCACTGTAGTCGTAGTCGTCCACATATCCAGAGCTCATCCCGAAAACATCATCCTCCGGGGGAAACACATCAGCTTCCAGGCTCTGGCGGCCGTCATCTGGCATCAAGCTAGGTCGTGAATCACTTTTGGTAGAAGACTCATCAACCTCATGATTGGCTTGGCCAGCATCGACACTGGCCTTTCGCGTGAACCGGCCGGAAGCTTCGGCACGGTTGGCGGCATCTGCTAGAGCGCTGTGATATGCGTTCATGTCGTTGAACATGGGAAGGGTGTGCTGTTGTGCGACAGAGTTTGTATGAGCGAGCGAAGATTCACACTTCCCCAGGTGCTTAGACAACGTGTCGTCATCTGCTTCGTAACCCGTCTCAGAATTCATCACAGGGTTCGGGTGAGAAGGAAGTGCTTGAGAGGCTTCATCAATGTCTGAGAACTTCACTTTTCTATCGTACAACGGCCCTTCTGGGTCATCGAATACATTCTCATCGAACTCTGCGGGCTCTGCATCTTCCTGGTCGCCAATAAGGCCATCGTCAAAGTACATGTCATCGCCCAAGTCCAGCTGATTGGTGCTACGCGACTGTCTCGCACCAGCAGTGGTGTCAATCGATGCATCTGGCGGGGCTGCTGAAGACGGGCCATTTGGTATCTCTTGCTGATCGCTGACACCCAAACCATATCTCTCGGTAGTCGGTCCATGAGAATGGTGAGGCTGTGATTCGATCGCCAAGGCTTTGAATTGCTGAAGATCCTGTTCAGACATGGCAAATCCCATGGGGTTGCCGTACATGTCGATGGATTGCTGCAGGTGCGAAAAACCATTCATCTGGGTATTGAAATTCTGCGCGCCAGCCTGTGTCGATGAAAAGTCGAAACCGCCGAGTCCTGAATCCAGAGTCTGGTTTCCTAAGCCTTCAAACTCGTCTTCCTCGCCAATCATGGGAATCTCCTCGTCAAGTCCGCCATCCATGTCATAGTCTTCCATATCGTACTCATCATATTCATCAACAAGCGAATTGATGGAATATCGGGCCTGCTTGGAAGCCTTCGCTGCTTCTTTTGCCTTGTGTCTTTCTTCCAGCAACTTTTCTTGCGCAGAGTCACTACCGCCCGGTATTTGGAAGCTAAATCTCGATGCTCTGCTGCTAAAATGTGCTGGTAGACCAGCTGGTTGAAAGGGTGCGTCGGTTACAGAAGTAGCTCTAGAACGCGCGGATGGAGGTGACTTGGTCGATTGCCTCTTTCTGTTAGTCGCTTCCACAGCCTCATTCATCAGATCAGGCGATTCCTGTACCGGAGACAGAACGGAGGCTGAGGTATCGAATTCTTGGCATGGTGGTGGAGGCGGTGGTGAAGATGTCGGAGGGGAAGGTGGGTCCTTGGGAGCGGAAGGGGGAGGGGGAGGCGATCTTGTTGGAGGTGCAAATTGCACCGAGTTCCTCGCCAAAAAGTCCTTGTTGACCAACATCTCTGCCCTGATGGCTGCTTGAGACTGCTCGTAGCTCGTGTCGTCGTCAAAGTGCTCACGAAAGACGGGTGTATGCTCCTTGTCAACCTTTGGAGGACTCACGCGACCCAGGTCTTGTTTCGTGTCACGGGCGCCATTGACGTTAGTATACGAAAAATTCCGATTGAGTCTAGGTGCATTGAAGTCGTGAACGATGTTACCGCGTATCCTTGGGTCGTAGTCGTCAGGCATCGAAGATGCAGCTGGCGGCGAGCGTATGGTGACAAGCGATTCGTCTGCGAGAGGATCCAATGGCTGACCAGATCGCCGGCGCATCAGGAGAGACATGGGGTTGCGCAGGCTCAGTCTCGACTTGGTTTTGGTAGGAGCCGGGGTTGGGGTGGAGGTGGCCTTGGAACTGCTGGACAGCTTTTCACTGATTCCGCTCAGCAGCGAAGTCTGAGATTTGGAGAAACCAGAGTAGCTGGGCGAGATTGTCGCAGGAGCCAAGTGTGTTGATGGCTGGGGAGGCGTCTCCCAGGACTGCGCCTGGTCCATTCGCTGCACCTGTACGGATACTGGTGGACGAGAGCCGGCTGGTGTGTTACCAGACACGGAGGACGCAGAGGGCGCCATGTCCTCGTAACTGGGGGGCAGCTGGTGTTGTGTTCGCTGCTGTGGGGAGGAGAGCAGCAGCCCACGATCCTGCGGTGCCTGACCATGACTGTGGCTACCACTCCCCCTACCACCACCACTTCCACTGACATTGCCTTTGCCACTACCTCCAGCGCTCATAGCGTCGTGGCAAGGGGTACTGTAGGTGTCGTGTCCCGCCGATTGTTTGTCCAACTTGGAGGCGACACGCGTAATGGGAGGCAGCTGCGGGGGAAAAGGCGATATGGGCGAAGCAGAGGCATAACTCGCATTGTCCGAGAAGCGCGGCGAAGCCAAGTAGTCGGTGTTGTGCGACGGCGAAGGCAGCGGATAGGCGGCGGGGTTGGGGCTAGGAATTGGCTCTGCTGGCGAGGCCAGACTCGACGAGGCATTGCGTTTTGCGTGGCCCGGTCTCAGATAGCTGAACATGTTGGATGGGGCCATGACAGCGATATGTCTTGCAAGGCGGCCACTAGCTGTCGCAATCGGTAATACCTAGCTGGTGTACCGGTAGTTCAGACTGCCTCTTAGCGAGGCCATGTGCCAGTGGGCACCATGACCGGGAGAAGAGCTGTGGGGCAGAAGGATGATGCTATTGACGGTATATCAACCTGGGACTGGCCTTGAGAAATAATGGTCCACGCGGATTCCAGCGTTGCACAGTCTCGGGAGAGTAAGTGGACGCGATGCAGGGCACCGAGGTGGCAGTTGAGCAGGTGCTGGCTGGGATGTGGGGTGGGATGCGTGGGGGGAGAGGGAGGGAAGGGAGATGGTTGGAAGCCTTCGCGCAGCAAAGGGGACCAGCAATGATGTCTCGTGATGAGTAGGGTAACGAGACGAGGTAGGTACGTACTATGGTAAGTAGGTAGAGGTTACCTATGATGATACTCTCTGCTACCGTACCTGGCTACTCCAGACCTGTCAGGGCTCTTTGTCGCGGCCTTCTCCATCCTTCTGCCCAAGCCTTCGCACCCAATACCAAGCTTCATGCACACCCCAACATGCAGGCATCCTGCCGTTGCTCACCGAACACAAGTACCCCCAACGCTGACTTTCTGCGACGCCGCTGCAACACCCCCTTCAACTCAAACTGGTACAGTACAACGTGTCCATGTATCCTGCCTCAGCATGCGTCATCCTCATCTACTCTATACATACATATCTCCTCAGATCATGAAGAGTACCGGTATCATTTTTTTTTAAAAAAGAAATATCCATCATGTGCCAAGAAGCAAGATAGAGTTGCTAAGTAATTACTGGTGGTGCCATGATACCACATGCTAAAGTGAAGTAGCCATGTCCATCGGCACTAAAAGACGCTTCCAGTTAAACTTCAACTACCTATGACATAGACGCTCTACTTAGCGTACAGTAGACACAGGTACTAACTTCATCTTGCACGAGCAGGCTGCATGCGAACACCACACCACATCAGCAAATAGCACAAGACACCAACGTGTGCTACTAGAGGAAGAGCACCCTGGAAGCTCTGTAGTCTTCCACAAGGTTGGGCACAGCCACTCCAAAGTGCTTTTGTCGTTGTCTTGCTTCTTGCACTTCCACCACGTACACAGATAGCTCTCATGTACGTCAAGGCTCGAGACGGACGAGGACAAAAGAAAAGTCCCATCGTGTACGTCATCATACCCGAGGAGAGAGCCGTGTTGTGCATGGAGAGGGAGACCATCTGCCATCACATTACAAGTTGCCTTGCTACAATATAAGTTGGAGGTATGTATTCGAACAAATCTTCGTCTATTCGTGCCAATGAGGCTGGTCATTCATCATTTCCATGTCCATCAATTCGTACCCGTTCATATGTCCCTCTTAAAACGCCGCTACTCCCTTCAAGGCCAAGCATGCCTTGAATGGCCTACAATATCGAACCAAACCCAAAGGTCTGCTTGATACTTCGAATGTAGTACTGATCCCAGTTGCTCTTGGTTGGCTCCTCTTGACCAACAGGCACACCCTTCCACTCAACTCTCATCACCGTTACTGCATCAATGTCGTTCTGATCGAACCAGATCGATAGCGTCGAGTAATGACCTGCTGGCCACTGAGACAATCGCCATTTCTGGACAATATGTGTAGGCTCCTGCAACTCAACATACTCTCCGCTCACATTGCCACCAAACAGTTCAAATGTAGCTCCCGGTTGCGCACCGTTGAATTTTGGAGGGGAACGAGTGAAGGCAGCAATGCGCTGAGGATCGGTGAAGGTTTGGTACAAGTTCGCCGCATCCGTGCGGAACTCTGTACTGTCGTTGATAGTAGTCACGTTGACGACCGTGCCCGAGCTGTTCTTCTGCGATCCGGATAAGTCTGTCTTCGACTCAGACTTGTTCACACTGGAACTCGAGTACACCTTCGGCGCAGAGAAGCCGCTACCAGGATTAGTACCTGGGGCATGCTGGATGTCTTTTCCATGTTCTTCCATGACTGCCGGTCCAATCTTTGCAAAGCTCTTGCGTAATTGCGGCACAATCTTGGATCGAACTAGGTCTTTGACGGGCTGTTTGCTGCTCTCGTCAGAGTAGACATCTATCTCAAACTGTTCAGGATGTTAGTACAAGGAGCTCGTTGGACAATTACACGGATAGTGGGTGTGAGCAAAGGGAACATACGACATACTCGTCTTCCTCAGTGTCGTGGGCGACCTCGGGGACGGTGATGGTGCCGCTAGCTTCCTCACCCTCGGCGTTCTTGCCTGACAACCGAGTCAGCTCGCCCAAGAACATGGGAGAACACGAAAATCACGTACCAGAGTATTCCAACTTAAGCTTCACGTCAAAGATGGTGATGACCTTGCCCTTGCGCTGGCTGACATCCACGTCACCGTCCATACTGACCACCTTGTCGATTTTGGCAGAGACACCGCCATCCTCTACCGAAATCTGTACAAGCTCCTTCTCCAAGTACTCCCTCGTCCAGCCTGACACATCCTTGTTGACCCAATGCCAGTTGTTCGGGTTATGAAGGACCATGGTGGGGAACGGGGAGCGCGATGAATCTCGGCTGGGGTCTCTGCCAGCTAAATTAGCAATGCGGCACAACACGTGGTTTGTGAATTATCCAGGCGAGTGTTTTCAATTGTCAGAGGGCGACTCGAAAGTCTATGCAGCTGATCCGCATATAAAGAGTACAAGTCTTCTCAGACTGGTGCCAGCTTGTGTCTCATCATTCGAAAGGGGGAATTACATCTGGTGGTGCGACTTACCTAGAGGTGTTATAGCAATGCTCGAATCGCAAAGACTTCTTCTTACACGGAACGACAGGTTGGAGAAGGTCGAGCTTTTGAAGGTCGAGAATTAAGTAGAAAAGGGAGCTATGGGCAGAACTTTCCAGAAGTGAGCCATGTTCACTTGCCGCTAGCAGCGGGCCGAACAACCTCCGACGACCCCAGAATGCTCGTGAATAGAGCCCAGCAATTCCACAATCGCGTCTACCGTTTTTGGAACATGACTCTATGAGCAAAGTCCTTGTATACTACCAAAGAGTAACGTTCTGCCCATTTCAAAAATAGCCTTTCTTCAGTGTTTTTGTGACTAGATGTTCCCGATGATCAAAAGACCCTCTTATCCATCCTCAGCCTCATCTGGTATGCGCTACGTGCCTTCCAAATAGGTGACTTGAAAGAACTCGCTGCTTGAAAAGTATCTTCTCGAAGAGAAAAAAGTTCCTACTTCCACCCTTGTTGAATACTCCGCGTATGAGACAAAGTGAAACTCTTCCAATGTTCAGCAAAGCCCCTCAATGGGCAGTCGTTCCCGATTGAGGAGGCGCATACTCACGAGATATGTGATGCTACCCATACGGATCATACATGGAGGCCATTTCGGTTCTGCGAATCAGGGAACCAGGCGCGTTGTGAAAGTCCTCGCGATTTAGCACAAGGTCTTTACAAAGGACTGGACATCTCAGGTAGAAGCGCCGCTGGAGGTCTGTAGTAGGTCAAGAATCTGTACTACTAGAGTGCAGGTCTACTTGAGGTGCCAGTACAATATCATCTGATAAGATGTTTGTCATGTTATTCTCCGGTGACACCACATCTTTGCGTTTTGTAAGATAGCTAGAGACCATAACTGAGGCCCTAGAGAATCCCCTGTTTCTCATATCTCTTTGCTTATGCCCACTTCGCCACATTGTTCGGTATTAGTTTCTTGAACATATCCAGTTGTCTCGAGTGTACAGCCAGCTTCGCATCGAGCAATTCAGGCCGCAACTGCAGTGTCTTGTCTACGCGCCGTTCCGAGCCACTGAACACAACCGTAAAGTCGGGTAAATGCGTATACGGTGGGACAATCGAAGCGGCCGAGATAGTGCAATACTAACAATTTTTAATATATATACTAGAAATGATGCCATCGAGAAATATCCATACCTTGCCAATGATACTACCCCTCCCTACCTGGGCGCCAACCTCTACAACACTCCCTTCGCCTATCTCGGCAGCTTCGACAATTGCATTAGACTCAACGACTACGTTCTTCCCTAGCACAGTACCCTCTGCTCTCATCGAGTCCCGGATGCTCGCGCTGCTCCGCGCCGAGATCATACTGATGCGCTTGGTCTCGGCGTCGGGCTCAGGACCCATGCCCACGCCCACTTTGGCTCGCTCATAAACCACACAGCCTTCGCCCACAACTACCGGTGCAATTGCGCTGCTCAACTTGCTGTGGGGGTGGAGGACTGTACTTGAGCCGATTGTGATGGGGTATGTGCCGGTCAGTTGGGCGTGTTGTGCGATGAGCACAGAGCCATCTACGAAGATTGACGACGGTTTTGGGAGGAGCGAGGTGCGTTTGGGAGCTGTGGACGAGCGTCGATCGGGTGCAGGGCGTGTGGGTGCTGGTTGTGCTGACATTGTGGAGGCTTTGCGAGGTATAGCGTATTCTTGACAGACGTGGGGTGAAGTGACGCTGTTTGGATGTGTGCTGTCTATGTCATCGACGCGTCCTTCTCTTAACTAGCGCGACGCCTTATCACGTGCTGTTGTCCGTTTCACCCAATCTAGGACGAGTAGCTTCCAAGGTGAAGATTTGGAGCGAATTTCATCAGATGCTGATATCGCTGAGAATATTTCGATCATCGACTTATTGGATGGCCATACACAGTACGGCAAGTACTTAGAGAGATACGTGATGCAAGAACTAAAATCTACTAAGTTTTTCCGCTTTACTCTTCACTCGCTACGGCAACTACACGCTCCAGTGTAGACTTGCTGCTTAATACTTTGTCACTGCCCACTGCATCGCAACAGTTTGTCTCTTCTTATTTAGCTTAGGTCAAAACCAGCCCCACTAAAAATACTATACAATAACTTCTCCTTCAAAGTCTTCTCGTCCCGATACATGGGTAGCTTCAGTAAGTTGACACAAGTACTCGTACTCGGTAATCTCTCCTGATCACTCCCTGCATCTCTAATGCTGAATCTTGGATTCAGCGTGCCAAACCCTAGCAACGGCGCACGAGGCGTACTTGTTACAAACTTGAGCACCGCACGACGTTCATCATCCGACATCTCCTTCATGACTTTCCAAAGGATCTGTATGGTGGGATGTTCGAGCCCTTGGTTGCCGATCAAGTAGAGACCGCCGTATACGGTGTTGCGGCGCAAATCTTCAACATCGATAGAGGTGCGGGTACCGCTGATCAGTGTTTGGAGCTCCGAATGATTGAACATAGACAGCCAGGACGGCTGGATCATTGTGCCAAGGCCGCGGAGAAAGGCGGTGGTCTGGAGATACGGTTGGTTTTGTAGGCGGTGGCGCGCCATGTAGCTTATGTAGACCAGTCGATTTTGGTTGGTGACGGGCGTATTAGCTCCATCAGGCTTAAGCTCCTTGGTCACGGCTTTGGTCTTTTTGGGATTGCTAGTGTGGTCGATGGTGATATTGTCCGTCACAGTGAAGTTGAGAGAGAAGTCCTCAACGTCACCAGGGTAGGTCTTTAGCTTGTGGAGACCTTGATAGAGCTCTTCATCCAGATCGCGCAAGTCATTGAGAGTAGGGCGGTAGCCAGTTTCGTTCGGAGCGGAACCCGCTCCGCCAGTCAAGGCCCATTTACGCAGGAAGAATGGGGCAAAGTTGACGTCTACGAGGATTCCCTCATAGAGGCACTTTCCAATGATCCGACCTAGGAATTCATATTTCTGTAGCAGTTCCGATATCTGAAGCCGAGACTCTGGTGAGTTCTCCCGCAAACCAGCTTGTCGTAGCGCTTCCTTGTGTTCGTCCACTGCTGCAGGATTCGGGTAAAGAAGATGCTGGTCATTCTCAACAAACATGTCGATAAAGTTGGTTGGCATGAATGCCCGATCAGTAACGCTAGTGAGAAACTCTTTGGTCACACCGCCACCATCTATACCAGCCTCAGGTTCTCCAAATTGGTCCATGAATGTAATGGAGATCGGCTCCTTCAGTCCAGAACCTAGTGGATAGAATTGCTCAAAAGCATCTTCAAACTCGTTTTCTCTTCGGATCCTGGCTGCTTGCCTCAGGAAATGACTTCTGGCATCCGGACGCTGCATTGTCCTGAGTCGCCATGAGTCTGGATCCGAACCGCCTCTGCGTTTTGTCATGTCCAGGTGTACAAATTCGCGGAAAATCTGTACTCGAGTAGCAAAGGGGATGAAGAAGGGCATGTTTTGCAGTATCTCCAAGCGAGGCGCCACAGCTTGTAAATATCTCCGTCTTGAAGCCCTGCGCTGCTGACGCTGCAGTTTTTCTAATCGACGTTGTTGCTGGGTTCTACTGGTGCCAATGAGCTGAGGCGTATCGTCGAGTTCGTCCTCTTCGTCGTCGATATCATCCGCATCTTCCTCTTGAATCTTGTGGCGCGACTCCTCTTCTTGCACCACGGCAGGGATGAATCCAGTCATGTCGAATCGTGAGGTCATCAACCAATGGCCTTCAGGCAGAAATTTGCGGCGCGAGTCCCGTTCATATACCATACGAAGGAGCCCTGTGACCAGACCCTTCACATAGTCGATTTTTAGTCCTGCAACACCGCCTATAGACGACTCCACGGGCTCCCTCTGGGTCTGCAAATCCATAGCTTTAGAGCTAAAGTAGGAAAGCCCCATGGTGAGGTTCGAAGCGACTTCCTCTGTCATTGTAATATCAGCGGCGTTGAAGTAGAGAGTGAAACCCAAATTCTTCAAAAAAGTTGTCAGATCCTTGACTTCGCCCAGTGGCAAGCCACTGTCACGAACCTGGCTGGAGTAGATGTCATGCTGGCCGGCCGAGAAGAATTCCTCGTCATCTGTTACCTTCAGGACAAAAGTATACAGCTCTAAGAAGACAAGTATCACTCTCCATTCATCCGTAATGACAGAATCACGATCAATCTCCTGCTGTGCTGGCTGCCAGGTTCCGTGTTGCGACGAGCTTGAACTGTCGACGCGTGCCACACCATCTTGAGTAGCTGTCTTCGGTTTGAGCAGTCCAATAGCCGCTCTTGAGTCCCGGAAGATGGTAGTGAACACCGTAGAACGTTTTGAAGCCTCCCAGAAATATCGTATGGCAGGCAGTTTTTGCGCATTTTGTGCAGAGGATGCTTCTGTGGGACCGATATGAAGCCACATGCGGATCTCGTCACCACGTCGTGGGAAGAACCGGAGGAGAGCTAAGGCGTAGTTCGCTAACTGCCGTGCTTCTTCAATCTTATCATCTTCTGAAGCGTCCGTTGACTGTGAAGAACCGGCCAACAGACTGCCAATACCCTCTTGTTGAACGAGGGAGGTTACTTGTTCCTTTAAGAATGCAGTCACTGCATCAGATCCAAGATCATCTCCATCCTGTTCGGTGACTTCAGAAATGGGATGCGAGTCATCGACAATGTTGATGAGAAGAGAATTTAGCAGGATCGATACTACTGAGACAAAGTCCTTGTGCACGGCGTATGATTCGGGACTGCTAAAGTTGTGGGCGTAGCGATGTAGATAGATGAAAGATCCCAACAAGCGCAATCTGCTAATCGAGCTCTTCAGCTCAGGCTTGCCTTGTAGTCCTGATGTCTTGAAGAGGGTAGCCAGTGCATTTGCCAGTAACTTATAGTTGATTGCATTGGCGAGCGAGTCGCGAAACTTCTGTAGCGACGGGAATGTAGAGTCCGAGCTGAGCAACGGGAGTACAAGCAACGATACACCATAGGCCTCGTATGCATCCAAAGTATACCCAGTCACCTGGCTCAACGGCGAAATGATTGTGCCAATCAATGTTTCCCACACTTCCGCATTCGTAGCTTCTGGTGAGTCCAGATCTGGCGCGAATTTCGAGATGACGCGGGCCAGGGTGCGGTAGTACTGCTGAGCATGCTGAGACGTTTTGGCAGGTATTAGGTCGGCCACGAAGCGCAAGAGTCTCAAAGACAGGCCAATTTCCGCGTCAGATGTTGTGGGTAATTGAATTCGGTCTTCCAAGGAGGCGAGCAATAGACGCTGAAGCCGATGGTACGCAAAGGGCCATGGCCCACTGGATGTCAAACCCAGCTTCTTCACCGTCTCCATTTGTCGTACTCCAAAGTGATGTATCCGCCGCAGGTCCTCGTCATTCCGTGCCGAAGCAAAACGCAGTAGCCGCTGCAAACTTGCAAGAGCGTCGTCCTCTGAGTCATATGCCACCGTCTGTAGAGCGCCCGTCGCGCTCTCTGACGAATCCCATTCCCGCCGTAGCTGGTCGGCCACTTCCTTCCTACTAGCATGTCCCCTCCAGACTCGTTGTATTCGCTTGGCCGCGTTTAGAGTGTCTCGCTCCCGTTGCCGCTGTGCTCGCTCTTGCTGTGCCCGGTCAAGGGCAGCCTGTGAGCCCCCACCCGAGACGGGCGTGCCAAACGGATTCGTCTTCCTTCCACCCAGGTTGACTTGCCGGGGCCGACGCGTGTTGCCGGTAAAGCTGGCGAACATGGCGGCGGGGTGGGCGATTGCGTGGTTGATGACTGTAGGTGGCCTGTGGCGTTGTGGTCTGCGGTTGCGTCACCCAGAGGGCAAATACACTTTGAACCAGCAGCAATTATATCGGCCTTCACTGTGTACGGTGTAAGGAATGGGTGCAGATGTGTATTACAATTATTCGTTGGAGAGCGCTGCGTTGTCGAGTGTGGGGGTTGGTTGTTGCTTGCCAGGCGAGGCCGTCATTGAGGCGGGTCCTCAAGCCATAGGTAGGTAGAAGCGATATGTCGGGCGAATGAACGGAAATAGGCCGTGAAAGGTACCGGTAATTGGTATCACTCACTACCGTATCCGAGACTCCAGGGCAGGAGGCAATCAACTTCGACTGCCTTCCAAGCGACTCCAAGCAAGCGTGGTGGATGAGCCAGCCAAAGGAGTAGTCAGCAATGAGCATGCCGCAAGCACCGCAGATGGGGTCCGTGCTTGATGCCGTCACCTTCTTCACGTGTTCATGTTCATGTTCATGTTCGTGTTCGAGTTCACGTGCACGTTCATGGACATCCATCGATACAACATCACCCCTTAGGTCTTCCTTTAGTACCAATCTAAAGCACGCCTCGATTTGATTCCTATCTTCTCTCATCCATCCTTGTCAAATCAAGTGCGCATCTAAGCCGGGTGTTTCTATGCTGTACAACTCGCATCATTGCAACCTTGGTACTGTGAGGAGCTTCCATGGTAATAGAGCAATCTATTCTCCAGTCAATTAAAGCATGCGAAACCAGCACCGCGATGACAAGGCCCAACTTTCTTAATACTCATTCATATCAGCCCTGTTTTACTTTTCTTGGTATTTTACTTGATTTTCTACACATGATTATAATGGCTTTTCAACTACTAACTCCTCTATAGAAGAACAGCATTTTCAAAACATGAAGCACAAATGTCCGCCTATCTTTCCTGAAAAACAATTGCTCTTGCCTACTTAAATTCAAAAGTCATCAGTATTTCCAAAGACTCCCGCTCGGAACATCCTTGGTAACCACGTCCACCGTAGGAACACATCCTGTCAAGACCGCCTTTTCTATCCGACCACCTTCATTTCATATCCCTCATCCTAACCCCCCTTCCCCCATTCATCGCTTAGAACCCCCATTCCTATCCACCAACACCGCCAAAACTGCAACCAAAGCAATAACAACGAATAACACCACATACACATTAAAAGCGCTGCCGTGCCTACTCCTCCGCATCCTCCTCCAAAGACTGACTTGCCCACCACCTGGTGCAGCCAGCCACAGATGCGGTAAAACGGCCCTTTCAGCAGACAACGGCTCGTTGTTGCCTGCTAAGATTATGGGGAACGTTGCTGGGTGGTGGTGTGGTGGTGGTGGCCGGGCCAAGGCGGCTTCAAGGTCCTCTTCTCCCCAGACGGTCAGACCGGATGATGACGATGATGGTGATGGTGATTGTGGTGGAGGGGAGTCTATACGGCGGTCTGAGCGCGTGTAGGGTGGTGGTCGGTCGTGTGGCGAGTATGCCGGTGGTGGGTAGATGGGGTGGGAGGATAGTGGTTGAAACATGGTTGTGGTTGTGGTTGTGGTTTGGAAGGTACTTTTGCAAATATATGTTTACAAGTGTGTGCAAAGTTGTACCAAGTGTTTTTGTTTTTCTAGGTGTGCGGGCTTGGATGTTATATACAGTTAGGGCAGCAAAGGAATATAATCATGTTTACACTGCATCAGAGATTCTATGGTACGCAATATTTCGCTCGACCAAGAAAATTATATTCAATATCGAGCTTGGTTCCTAGCGTAAAGACACATTTGCATTATTAAATTGAAATTGGTATTTACCAGGCGATGTAGGTCTTTCGTATGTACTAGCTTCATTTGCAGCTTTTATTAGAACGAAGCGAGAATTATTGTTATAGTTAGAGCTTCTGTCTTCTCAAGATATCTGCCCATATAATCCCTAATGTAGCCTACCCTTCTAACCCCCTTCATTTCTTTTGGACGATCGTGAGATGTGTAGCATATTTCTATTCTGCATCAAGTTTTCCATAGTGTACACACACTAAGTCAAGCAGCGCATGATGTAGTAAGGAATATACTTTTTTGCCTACGAATTATTAGAGTAGAGAATCTATACATATCTTCGCCATCAATACAAGGCCCTTTAGATAAGGTAATACTGGAAGTCACTACTTTAAGGCAAGTGTGACTGGACGCGAGCAGCTCATAATCGCACCTCTTCAGCACGAAGAGCAATTGTCAGATCATGGATACATCTATCAGTGTTCAATGTGTACAAAGTGGCAGGTTATACAACAATGACAGCTGCAAGGCTGCAGGTGATCATTGGCAATGCGGATCCGCGACCCCGCTCAACTACCATTCAACAATGAGAAACAGATGGCATATACAGTATAAAACGACTTGAACTCGTAGCGCCAGAATTAATTTTCTTGGTTCCACGATCTAGAACTCTCGACTCCCAGTCCGCCAACCACCACCATCATGAACCACACGCGCAAAGACTCTCAAGGTGGCGATGTCGTCGCCGACATCCACTACTTCGCAGCCACCGGCACCCCAATCACGACTGAAATGTGGAAGATGCCCATCTTAGGAGAACCCACCGAATTCACAAGACGAATGACCATCCACGATGCCCGAAGATCCAACCAGCAATTCCACCTCGACACAAACGGCTTCCAGTTCCTCACACTGCCCCCCACGAAACGAGTCACGGCCGACGACGACGAAGAAACTATCAAACGTGAATACTACCCTGAACTCGAGCAAATCGTAAAAGACTTGTATGAAACCACCAACGAATCCTATTCCAATCATCACGTGTATACGTTACCGTACAAGCCCATTCCCACACCCAACTAACACACATCGCAACCCACAACAGAACAGGCGCAACAACCGCCCACGTCTTCAACCACGTCATCCGCGCCCACATCCACCCCCCCACCCAATCCACCCCAGACTCCCAAGGCCGCTGGCCTCAAATCCCCTCCAGCCACCCACACGTCGACTACGCAAGCGACCCCGCCTTCCTCGCCGGCACACAGCGCGAACTCAACCTCCCAGCCCCCATCGCCGCCCTCTTCCACACCAGCCCGCGCTTCGCCCTACTCGGGCTCTGGCGGCCGCTCAAACAGGTGCGGCGGGATCCGCTGGCCGTGTGCGATGCCGCCACGGTGCCGGACGCGGATTACCAGGTGCGGCTGCGCGAGTTCAAGAGGACGGGGGTGAAGTCGGGGAATTATGTGTTGAGTCATGGAGAGGAGGGGGAGCGTCATGAGTGGTGGTATTTGTCGGGGATGCGTGAGGATGAGATGGTGGTGTTTAAGGGGTTCGATACGTGGCAGGATTTGCCGGGGTGGAGGTGTCCGCATACGGCGTTTAGGCTGGAGGGGAGTGAGGGGGAGGAACCGAGGGAGAGTATTGAGGCGCGTGTGGTGTGTTTTTGGGACTGAGGATGGAGGGGCTTGGTGGAGAGGGAGAAAGTTTGGGAGGAATGGAGTCGTGATTTTGCCAGGTGGGTGATGAGAAAGAATGATTCATGTGCGTACCACTGGTGCTCTTTAAGGTGACAAGAAACTGGAAACCAAACCACGCCTTTTTTCTTGGATGGAAACGAATAAAAACAAAAAATCGTGCGTAACATCCTTCTGTCCAACACTCCTGCATATCCTTCCCCCCCGCCCCTGTCCGCATCTCCGCCCTACCTCCTCAGCTTCTGCACCGTCATAGCCCCGACCCTTTCAACTGACCGGTAAACCCCCAACATCTGCACCTTCAGGGCCTCGAGTTCAAATTTCGTATTAGCCAGTTCTACCCCCATCTCCTTGAACCTATGGTAGGAGCGCAGCGCCGTAGGGAAAAGAGTATCGGTAAGAACCAGCACGCCCATGATAAGCAGCATCCAGACAACGACAATGGCAAACAGCATAGCATACTCTTTAAGCTTGCTCCGCCACGAAGACCGTGTGGGAAACCCAGAGTCGTGCTGGCCCTCAATGTCGTCGTCGTGATGGAGGATGGAGGGCCTGGGACGGGTGGGTAGGCGGATGGGACAGGGGGATGCGGGTTGCAGGTCATGTGCTGTTGTTTCTGAGAGAGCGTATTGGAGGAAATCTTTTTCGTTAAAGGGCTCGTTTGTGGCTTCTGCTGTTTGGAAGTCTCGGTCTTTCCAGGTGATGCGGCGGGTGGGTGTTGTGCAGTTGCTGTTTGCGGTGGTGGTAGTGGCCATTGTGAATGCGGTATGGTATGTATGTAACGACTGTGAAATGGTAACAAGAAGGAGTGACTGATGGCGACGGCCGGTGATAATGAAGGTGTGGACTAAAGATGCTACCCTTGGATGTTGTGAGGATGAGGGCGCGGCGGAACGTAAGTAGTGCTGAGGTCGAGGAATGCAAGGGGTAGCATCACCAGTGGGAGCATGATCAGAACGCATTCCATATAATGTGCAGTAAACATGAGCAAAAGCGGGCACGTACTCCATATGAAAATCGACTTTGGTACTGGCATCTGAGGTTCCTTATACCATCAACAATGCACGTCGAGCCGTCTGGGAAAGCTTGATGTGGTGTAGCAATCCATTTGGCAGCAATGATTCTGCGCATCACCTACTATGACCGGTAGCCATCAGACAGATTCCATGGTATCCGGAGGTAACCAGCCGTCGTGATCTTGACTCAACTGAGCTCGCTTAGAATGCTGGCTTGCACGCTCCACACTGCGCTTTCGTTTCCCGGCGATATTCATCTCAGAAGCAATATGCGTACGAGCCCATTTTCTCACTCGCACAAATGCTTCTACTGCGGATCTCGGCAGACCACCCGTATGTGCAATTTCAATTCCGTTGCTCTTCATCAAAATGTCGATGCTGCTGCGTGCTCGCGTGAAAGCGGCACTCAGTGATTGGCCGTAGACGGTGTCGCGGTAAGAGTTGAGGGCAATATTGCGCAGGAGCAAAATGTCGCCAATTTTGATGGTACCCAGAACTCGACAGAGCGCGTCCTGGGCGTGTACTTGGTGACGGTTCGACTTTCGAGGTGGCTGGATCCAGAAGTTGACCTTGAATCCAGATCGAGTCTCATCTGCTACAAAGATCTCCCATAGATTCCTCGTGTATCCCCCTTTTTGGACAAAGATTTGTCTCTGGACAGGACTCCCTGTCAAGACGCACACGAGGTTGGGGGTGGGAGTCTGAGGATATATGGCATTGAGATGCTGTGCAGTAGGGAGTGATCCAAGTGGTGTTATGGTCATCTGGGGAGGCACTCGGAGGAGTAGTGTATGCTCATCAACTCTGCTCGGGCTCTCGTAGTATGATGTGGTTGATGCGAAAGACGTGTCTAGGAATGAAGAGGGCGATACAAAACTACCGGTTCCGGCATCCTGCAGAACTTGAGATGATAGAAGTGCATTGTGAAATATCAACGAGTGTTGAACAAAGTCATCTGTCTGAAAAGACGGGTCGATGAGGGTCAAGGTCTCGTCAAGATTCGCTTGCTCATTTTGAATGCAATGTGGGGATTCCACAAGGTTAGGTATTGTTAGAGCTATGCTTTCTCCATCATGAGGCCTGCTACTGCCAGACAGATACGGCTGAGACCATCCTGTTCGTAGGCGAGTGGCTCGGTTCGTGATAGAGCGCCACTTCAATGGCAAGGTACTTTCCAAAGATGATGCATTAGGATTGAGTTCGGCCAGGACACTACGACACTGGTCCTCACCGAGAAGACTGGTGTCGCTGAAGTCGAGATGTTCGCATAAAGGAGCGCCGTTGAGCGTCTTGAGCCTCATGGGACGAGAAGTGTACGCGTCGCGTCGCAACCGCGTCTAGTGTGCACGGCACCAAGACTGACGAGGTGCATGCAGAAGATGCTCGGTAAGTATGGTGATTAATTGGAAAATCTTATGAGAAGGGTATACTGTGGTCGATGGCAGAGTGAATTGTGTGAGCGTTATGATATCTAGGGCGTCGGGTCGGAGAAGGCGATCGGACTTGACAAGGGGCGAAGGTGCAAGTCCGAACGGTGGTCGTTGCCTGCTCGCCTGATTTGCACGAGGCTCAATGGACCCGGAAATCTTCAAAGAAGGAGTGCAGCTTACGTGAATCAAGACTCTTCGTCTCTCCCGCTCTCTTTCTCTCCTTTGCTATAGCCAATCCATCCTTTGTCCCGAGCAACTTGCCCCGACATTCGCCTCTTGACTCACCACCCTGCTACGGCAAGCTCTCGGACTCCGCGCCCACGTACCGGCGGGCCTTGGCAAATCTAATCAGATCTAATGATAATCGACTCGTCGAATTGACAATGGCACCTACCCAAGCCTCGCGCCGGCCTCTAAACGCCTACATAGTCCCAGCCATGTTCAAAAACCTCTCGTACAAGCTCTCGTCGGCGTTGTCGTCCTCGGAAGTGCCCACGTTGAAGAACAGCGAGGAATTCGCAAAGGCGCAGAGGACGGAGCAACTGTTCCCGAGCACCGACCCCAAAGTCGATGGTGACGACTGCTTGCACGACTGCTCGAGTTGCACCGTCAACTATCCGCGCAAATTCGAAATCGATGAGACGGAGGAGCTGTTTGGCCATGTCAAGGGATGGAGCACCCATTTGATTGTCGCGACGGGCAAGACAGACTGGGTTCGCGATGTGGCGGATGAAAAGGGCAGCATCATGGAGGCTGTTGATAGAGGAGGCGTGACGCCCAGTAATGGGGTAAGTTAGTTGTGTAGTTGATGGGAATCGAAAGAAAAAAGAAAAGAAGCAATATACTCACATCAGAACCCAGAAACTCATGCTCTCAGCCTCCAACATGCCCGTCCCAGACCACTCGGACCACAGCACCATGGTCCTGCTACTACCTTCATGGCAGTACATAGACAACGTGACGCCCGCAAACATCCCAGACCTCATCACCAACTTTGTCAACCCAGGCCCAACCAACAACACACCTCTTCGCGCAGCAGCACCACCACCACCACCACCAGCAGACACCTCTTCCAACACATCCAACACCACCGCTACCATCCCCCCAACCCCAACCCTCACCCCCCGCCCCTGCCCCCACAAATACCTCATCCTAATGTGCAGCCAAAAAACCCGCGACGCCCGCTGCGGTCAATCCGCCCCCCTCCTGCGCAAAGAATTCGAACGCCTCCTCCGACCCCTCGGCCTCTACCGCGACCTCCACGACGACCGTCCCGGCGGCGTAGGCATCTACTTCATCAGCCACGTCGGCGGCCACAAGTTCTCTGCAAACGTCATGGTCTACCGCCACGTCTCTGCTCTTGCTGCTCCTGTTCCTGCTCCCGCTGCCGCTGCATCTGAGCGCGTCGCTGTAAAGGATGAGGATGGGCGCGAGATCGTGCTTGATGCAGATAGAGAGCCGCGTGAGGGGGGCGCGGCGCAGTGTATTTGGCTTGCGCGTGTAAGGCCGGAGGATTGTGAGAATATTGTGCGGTATACGGTGTTGCAGGGGAAGGTTGTGAAGCCGGAGCGGCAGTTGAGGGGTGGGTTTGATCGTTGTAGGCAGGTGGCTAGTTGGTGAGGGGTGTGGGTGTTGGTGTGGGGAGGGATCGGCTATGTATATATACATGAGTGTTTTGTGGGTGTGTATGATATGATTTCAAGACTTTGGACGGTTTAGACTATGCATGTGGGATACAGGAAGATTTGGATGTTTACTATGCAGCATGTTCAGAGCCGAGTGAAGGCGGCGTGGGATGCAACCTGAACAATGCCAACATATAGAATCCCAACAAACCCTGCTTGAAACATAAAACTTACCCCTCAAAAGTGGACAGGGGGAAACTGGATGTGACTCAATTTATCTTACACGTAAACTAACCCCGTCATCTCGACTACCAGTTCATACGCCATCACCCCTCCTCATCCCCTTCCCCCTCCCCCTCCAACCCCTCCCACAACCTCAAAAACCTCCTCTGCCCCTCCCGCTCCTCCACCTCCTGCGCAACCATCATCATCCGCATAACCGAGCTATCCCGATCCCTTGCCGCCCCATCTCCCTCCAACCCATCTCCCTCTTCCTCTCTCTCTCCTCCCACACCATCTCCCCGCCGATCATCTCTCTCTCCCTGGCCCTCTTCAGCCGCGGCCCCAGCTTCCGCCGCAGCCTTGCGCTGGGCAAGCCGGAGGGCGAATTGGCGACGTGCGCGGGAGGGGGGGATTTGTAGGGGTGCGGGGATGGGGGGGTTCTGGTTGGGGAGGGGAGTTTATGTTAGCTGGGCTCCGGTGATGTTTGTGGGTGTGTGGATGGGGGCGGTGGGGTTGGGGGGTAGAAGGGGAGTGAGGATGGGGAGAGGAGGAAAAGGAAAAGGAAAGGGAGAAAAGAAAAGAAAGGGCGAAGAAGAAACAAAACAAGGACAAAAACCAGAGATAAAGACAACAGGTTCGAACAAAACATCAAAAGAAGCCATCACCCAAGTCAGTCGTACATGATTCACATAGGAGACAAGTGAGAAACGCGTCCCTTTGGTGGGGGATGCATATTACTACATCATCATGTATCATACATCCAATCGGATGGCGAAGAGGATGTATGTACAGTACAGGCAGAGCACATACACACAGACAGACACATAACCCCATCATAATACAATCCATGTCATCGCTCATGCAAAAAGCCCCATTTGCCTCCAAACTCTTTTTGTCATAAAACAGGGCGTACACAACAGAATCAGACAAGGGGTGGTGACGACGACGACAATGACGCCGAAAAAAAATAAGAAAATGAAAACGCACCGAGCGCGGGGAAAGATCGGTTTGTGAGGTGTGGGATGGGTGTGAGGTGAGGATTATCGATAGTCCATGTCAGCATCGTCGAATGAGATTTCACCCACTTGTTCGGAGTCGTCGACAGGTCCCTGTCGTTGTTCTCTTTCCCTCTCGGTGTCGACGTCGTCCATGTCCTCGTCTTCTTCATCACTCGAGTTAGTAAAGCCACTAAGCAAGGAGCCACCGCCGAAGGTGTACCCACCACCTCCAGTGTCACCATGGTTGGTAAGCTCCATGCTATCTAGACCAATGCTGCCATTGTTGGCGAGGCTCGCATTCGATAGTCCGCCGTCGCCGCCAAAGTTGTTGGCTGCGTTGACGGCATTGAGCACCGTTTGACGGGGGCCAACACTCATGTCGGGTCGGACGCCTCCGAGAATGGCGTTGTCGCGTTCCCTAGTTTCTGCCAAGACGTTCTCGACATAATGCACCCATTCTTCGGCGTGGACCTTGTCTAGGACCAACGGTGAGAGCACTTCATCTGATTGTCTTTCGGTGAATTTCAATACTTCCTCGGCAATTAGCGTGAGATGGCCCATGTAGCCTAACCGTGTTCCCTTGGCTGCTTGGGCCTTGTCACTGTCTGCTTGCCCTTGAATGATGCGTTCAGTAATTCGTCCCGTGTCGAAAAGGTCAATGGCCAAGGAACGGTTGTATCCGCGATCCATCTGTCCGTTGAAGACCTGCTGGACGACATCATAGACTACATTGTGGAGGAAATTGTTCCAAGGGAAGCGGAAAAAGAAGTCCTGCGCAAATCAGTCGTCAATTACTACTCGAGTGGACATGTACCTACAAGAATGGTTGGCACGACTTTGTTCTGGACGAATGTTATCTTCAAAAGGTCGCCCACAACCGGCGAGCCGTCAATGTCGAGCTCAAAGGCCACTCCGCCGTCATCGATGTTATCAAATATGACCGACTGTGCACTTTGAGATTCGTCAATTGGTGTCGCTTCTAAATCCACTTCTGATGCAGGTGCGGTAAATCGCGACGTGTCAACCGCCGGAGGAGCCTCGGTATTGCTTTCGCGGCTCTTATTCGCGAAGAGTGGCGCAGGCTTATCATCCTCATGTGGTGATAGTGGTTCAGGAAGATCGTCGGTCTTGGAAGATTGGCTAAGTTGTTGCGTCAAGAGAGAAGGAAGGTCTTTGGTTGCAGCCTCTATTTTTGTAGGCTCCGTTGCGTCTTGACGATCGTTCATCACTGTATCGTTGTCCAGATCAAGACCGCCGACCTTGGCAGACAGTCCAGCCGACGTAGGTGACTCGGCATCATCTGCCGGCTTGGGAGTGCTGCTGGTCGACTCTGTCGTTGCCGATGTATCCTTGGGTGGGGTCAGGGGCTCAACGACGAATTCGCCTTCGCTTGATGCCGGCTTCTCGGCAGGGGATTCCTTGGGCATGACTTTGGGTGAACGTTCTAGTGGCTCGCCGATTTGCTCCTTCTCCGGCGACGTATCGTTGGGCGACTGGATGGCGACTTCGGGAGCAATGACCTTTTCAAAGTCGTCATCCGCACTATTCTGTACGTGCAATGGCTTGATCTCCGCAGGCGAGTCCATGGATGGTGCACGTGCATGGTGGAAGCCCTGGCTATCGACGCTGTTGGAGAATTCCCCAAGGTTGCCACCAGCAGAGGTGAGCTTGCCCTCTGCCTTGAGACGTTCGCGCTCGGCATCCCGCCTCCTCACCTCGGCCTCACTCCCACGTTCGTTGAGTAGGGCCATGTTGCTGCAGTGTAGCAATTCGGCCATGAGTTCACAAGTCTTGAATCGGTCAAATCCAAGCGGCTCAATCTTTTCGCCAAAGGCCGTCTTGAGCTCGCGTTTCTTCGTCGTCGTGCTGCCATCGGTTTGCGTGATGATTTGGCTTGAGCTGTTGACCAGTTCCATGAACTGAGGTATGTGGTTTGCAAACTCTCGTAGTAATGTGCCTAGGTAAATGGGATCAGAATTCTTTGGGACGGGTCCGATTTGATTCTCCAGGTCGTAGTCTGAATTGTTTTTCCGGATGACTTCGATAATGATACCAACGCCTACAGTCAACGGGTTCCCACCACGCAGCATGAAGTCAATCAATTGCTTCAGGCAGGTCTCGGAGACGAGCTGGCGCGTCAATTCGTTCGGGCCGATCACAGACTGGTCTTGTGTGGTGGCATTCGCAGATATGGTGATGATGGCCTTGAGGAAATCGCCGGCAGATGTCTGCGTCGAAGTGGAATGGTCGGGCCCGAGAAAGGAGATCAATCGGGGGATGAGGTTTTGCTGTTGTAGCCACTGGGGTCTTTTGTTTAGCTGGATGCTCATGTTTATGGAATTTCAAGAAGACGTACATCCACAATACCTTGACCTCCTTCGCTCTTCTCCAGACTAATAATTTTCAGGAGTAGGTCCATGATCACAGGGCAGTCGACGTGTTGCAGCATGTCAGTCACCACATTGTCGAGCGACTTGAAGAAGTCGAGCATCTCCTCCATCTTACGGTCGAGCAGCGACTCATTGACCTTGGTGAAGTAGCCGGCCTGGACGGGATCGAGGGGCGCTGGCTGCTTGATGTAGGCCCAAAACTGGCGCAGCGTGTCCTGGTTCTCGAGGACGGCCTCGGATATCGACCAGACCTCAGAGGAGAGAATCTCGCACGAGACGTAAGCATACTTCATGCGCTGTCGCTCCTCCTTGTTCTCCTCATTGTCGCCCGCATCGGACTTGCTGGTGGACAGGGAGCGGGCCCTGACCTTGCCAAAGAAGCTCTGGCGGCTGGGGCTGCGGGCTTCGTGGGCGGCTTCGGCTGCTGCCTCGTCGTCGTGGGGCGCTGCAGCCTTGGTGGCTATGACATAGCGCAGCAGGCGTTCGAGGACATTTTCGTCGCGCAGGTACTCGATGAGCTTGGAGTTTTGCTGCTTCAGCTCCTGGATGAGGTCTGACTCGTCGAGCAGCTCCTCCACCGTGACGTCAGGCTTGTCGAGGATGCTGTCGAGCGACGACAGCTGCGCGTACCCGCCGAAGCGCCAAAACATGGCGGGTTGTGTGGTTTCTGCGGCTTACGAGGGCGGGCGGCGGGGCAATCCAATCGAAACCTCGTGAGCGGGGTGGAGGCGGGGGGAGGGGGAGAAGGCAGACAAGAGAAGGACTCGAGAGCGACGCCAGCTCAGCGGAGCTCATGCGATGTCGATAGTAGGGGGCGGGGCAGGCAACTGAGATGGACCTTCATGGGACCAGATGAGGGCAGAGTAAGACCTGCACTCGCGGGTAGCTTTGTTAGTCGCTGTTGTTTTCGTGTTTGAGACAGGAGATCGCGTGCGACCCAACGACACACTTGCTTGCAAGCAGAGATACACACAGACACAGAAAGATACAGATAGACACACACACACACACACCCCAGGGCGGTGGCTTGGGCTGCACTACCACAGGCTGGGTGGACCAGGTACGTACCGAGTTTCTACCCAGTCCCTGGCCTGTTGTAGCGAGAAACAGGGCGGGGGTGGAGAGAGAGAGGGAGGGGGGGGGGGGGGGGGGGGAAGGAAAAAAAACATGGTGGCTTTGCTTGATTGAAAAAAAGGAAATTCCTCAAGACGCAAGGTGACTAGCAATGAGGTGCAAGTCATGAAAATGCTTATGCTATTTTCCCTCCTGAGAAGATGAACCAGCAAGCCACAAGGGGTGATGCACACGCGCCTGGTGGCGGGAACCATATTCGCAGCTACAGCGTAGATGTGATTGAGAGTGCACTTCGGATGCAGTGGGAAGCATACATTGTGTGAGACATGATCTCC